AACAATGACGACGTTAAAGATCAATTCTACGAAATGCTGCAGTCAATCGTCGAGAAATGTTCACCAAATGATTTGACGATTCTTATGGGAGACCTGAATGCCAAGGTTGGCATGGACAACACTGGATATGAAGACATCATGGGACGACATGGACTGGGAGAAAGGAACGAAAACAGTGAGAGATTTGCAAACCTATGTGCCTTCAACAAACTGGTCATCGGTAGCACAATATTCCCGCACAAACGCATTCACAAAGCCACATGGATTTCACCGGACCACACTACTCAAAACCAAATTGACCATATCTGTATCAACAAAACGTTCAGAAGGACCATGGACGATGTGAGAACCAAGAGAGGAGCTGATATAGCCTCAGACCACCACTTGCTGGTCTCCAAAATGAAACTGAAACTAAAGAAGCACTGGACAACGGGGCAGACAACATCAGAGAAGTTTAATACGGCCTTTCTTCGGGATACTGTAAAGCTCAACGAATTCAGGATAGCCCTCGCCAATAGGTTCCAGGCCTTTCAGGATCTACTCAATGAAGAGAACACAACATTGGAGAACAATTGGAAAGGGATTAAGGAGGCAATCACTTCAACATGTCAGGAAGTTCTGGGTCACAAGAAGCACCATCATAAGGAATGGATATCTGTTGATACTCTTGCAAAAATTGAAGAAAGGAGGAACAAGAAGGCAGCAATCAATGTTAGCCGAACAAGAGCAGAGAAAGTTAAAGCACAAGCTGCATACACAGAAGCAAACAGGGAAGTGAAGAAGAGAATCAGAGCTGACAAATGAAAATATGTGGATGATCAAGAAATGACGGCGGAAAAGGCTGCGGCAAAGCAGCAGGACCAGACAACATTCTAGCAGAGGCAATGAAAGCAGATGTAGAAGCAACTGCGAAAATATTTCACATACTCTTCAAGAAGATTTGGGATGAGGAACAAGTACCATCAGATTGGAAAGAATAATACCTGATCAAAATACCAAAGAAAGGCGAGAACTACAGTGGCATCACTCTTCTTTCAATACCAGGCAAAGTATTCAACAGGGTATTGTTAGACAGAATGAAGGACTTCGTAGACGCCCAACTTCGAGATCAACAGGCCGGATTTCGTAAGGATCGATCGTGTACTGACCAAATTGCTACATTACGGATCATTTTGGAACAATCAATTGAATGGAACTCACCACTCTACATCAACTTCATCGACTACGAGAAAGCATTCGATAGCGTGGATAGGAAAACACTGTGAAGGCTTCTTCGGCACTATGGTGTGCCTGAGAAAATAGTTAACATCATACGGAACTCTTATGATGGATTCAAATGCAAAATCGTGCACGGAGGTCAGCTAACAGACTCTTTCGAGGTGAAGACCGGTGTGAGGCAAGGTTGCTTACTCTCACTGTCTCTCTTTCTCCTGGTAATCGACTGGATTATGAAGACGTTGACATCTGGAGGGAAGCACGGTACGAGGTCGACAAAAACAAATCGAGCTCGTTCGTACATGATAGAAACGTCCTTGGGAGAGCCACAAATAGGGATCACTAAAATAATCCATCAACCAACGACAGTCAAGGATTTGTAGGTTGTCTATTAACTGCGTGTTCTTAAGCTCGGTTTATAAATCAGAATATGAACCCCTAATGATCAATACGTTTATTCGGGACAAACCACAAAGCGAAGCTAATCGGAGAAGGCTAAGAGCCATCTCAAAGAGATAGAGCATTACTAAGAATATATAGTCAGACCAAAAATAAGACAGACATGATAAGCGAAATAGTCATGCACGCACATGAATAAAAGCGACGAATTATTGACAAGGTCAAAAGCAAGCGATACAAATCATGTGAGTTCATGGGGAAATTAAGAGATTAACATTAAAGCGAAAAGGATGAGTAAGCGCGTAGGCGTAAACAATGCTCAGTCGTACAAGCTCATACAAACCGGATAATAAAAAATACCAATGGTACGTATGAGTTGTTGCTATACAAATGGCTTGGTTAAATAAATTAATCGAAAGGGCTTAACCAAGTTAGATGTAAGCGAACTGGAATATATGTGGAGGCACTACAGATTTTCCGACTGGGAAATGTAAGCTGAAGGTCAGTTGGCGCGAAAACGTGGAAATTCAAAATTTCAGAATAAAATTACAAAATTAAGACCTTTTCCAAGTGAGTTCTGGGGATCTAACGTCCCCAACAGTTACTACAAATTGTTTACGTGCACATAATCTGGGTTTGAATTTAAAGATAGGCAAGACTTCTATAAACCTCAGAACTGATCCTTGAACCTGTCTTTCCATCAATCCTAAGCCCCTTTTCGATTTTGTTTTGTTATTGATGAACATGGTTTTCTATTTCGCACATTTATGAAGTCATTGACATCAAATGAGTTTGAAGCTATTTAGGCACATGTTCCACAATTCTTGATTGCATTGATCTCTATTAATTTTCATAAAAAATTCCTTGTCAAGTGTATATGTATGACCAGATTATTCGAAATGTATGCTGCAAATACATCACAACATTTTTCAGATCAACTATGTCTTTTCACTGTTCTCGCACTTTTACTAACTTAGATAATACATTGCATTTTAAGTGTTTTTAATATTTGAATTGTTACATTTGTTTGATAAGTTTCCAAGGATATTTAACTTCTTTTCTTAATACAATTATATAATAATAATAATAATAATAATAAACACTTATTTCTAACTTTTAAAATCAAATTCTATTTCAATGTATTCTTATCTAATGTGTCTTTTGACTAATATCCTCTGAAGAAGTTTTTCTTTAAATGACTCCAAAATGAATTTTTATTTTTGTTTTAAAGTAACTTAGAGTTAGTTACAAAATTTCTATTTTGTTCTAATTGAATCTTGTTTAATGAAAAAAAGAAACTAAAATACATTTTGACATTTAAAGAATACATAATTCATGTCAAATTAAATACCTTTATAACCGATCAAAGATAAATGAAAAACACAATACACACACACACACACGGATCATCATCCATTGCGTATCATCTATTCAAAACTAAACAAAATCTTGCTTAATTCTCTAATCTAATAGTATCATGACTTATCTCTTCGTGTATGTTTGAGAAAATAAGTTCATTCACTTATTTCTACATAATAAATATATTTTAATTAGAATTATCTTTTACCAACAGAAATTATCGTTAAATCTCAAAAGTTAAGAAATAATTTTTCTAAGTGAAGGAAAAATTGCAAAAACCGCAATTACATAATCCATTTATAATAATGTACCGATTATGTTTATTGATTACCTACGCATTTCAGTGGTTATGTCATTCCTTATATTATGATGAGTCTTTGTTGATTTAATTTGTAGGTTATAAGTTTAATTTTACATTCGACAATGATATATGACTTTCAACTAAATAATATTGTGACATGAAAATAATTTCAAGTTTTTAATAATCATTCGCCTAAAACAATGAAATTCAGTCAAGATTTAATGGTTGATATATTCTAGGTTGAAATCTTCTATTCTGAACAAAACTTGCTGTAGATTTAATGTGAGATCTGTTTCACAACATTTAATTCTTATTACAAGAGAACGGCAGGTTCGATGAATTCTAAGGAAATATACAGAAGAAAAATTTTTTTTCACCATAAAATTATGGGGCTTGTTGTTTAGTATTGAAATCATGAATCAATCAATTTTAGACCACTATTAGAAACCTGGAAGCACTGGACGGTCGTTCCATCCTGGTATAGGACTCATCAACAGTGCAAGTCCATGATACCTACTACTCGCTGGAATCGAACCCAGGACATTCGGTCTCTCGCGCAAACGCTTGACCTCTTAATCCAGCTGTCAGAATATCTAATTTGATCAATCTAAGGTTTTGTGCAACTTCATTTAGCTGTCTGAGATAGATTATCCATCGAATTGTTTTGAAAATTCATTGTTACTGGTAAAATTTCAACGTGAGTGAATGAATGTCTCAGGGCACTGAAATTTCATTTCATGTGCATTTTTGATGAACAATATTATATTGTCAGTAATATTAGTTAATTAAACGCTTTGCTTTTCAAGATATTTGATACTTCAAAATAATTTCTACTGTTATTAAGATACACTAACAAATTGTAAATACAAACTCACTAATCGAAAATTACCACAATTTATAGCAAAACATGAATATCACAGCTTTAATGTTGAATAATGTTATGGATACAAATAAGGCTGTAAGAATTCTCTTTCATCCTCTTTTATGATTTTTTTCAACTATCATTAGAACAATACACATGATAAGCGAATAATATTGTTTTCAATTACATTATCAACAAGCTTTACTCTAATATACATGAATTGTTATATGAAAATGTTAAACCAATTTATGAGTCAGTAATCACGCTGAAAAAAGGACTAATACGCTGAAGTACAAGTTGATAATAGGAAGACAGGTGTACTAATAGTATAGTAAAATTCATGAAATACGATAACACAAAAGTTTTTGTCAATAGTTCAGCATTGAAAGTAGGAGGTCAAATGTGGATAAATAGACTTAAAATAATCCATACAAAGTTCTATTAGGATAACGTAATTAAAAGTGTGTAAATAATTAAATAGTGAAGAATATAAACCGAAGAAAGTGATGAAAAACATAGAAATACATAATGTGAAAATAACACTAATAATAAATTGAATAATATCGTTTATTAAATTACATTTGGCCAGGTAAAGGACAGGGCTGTCACGAATAATAAATTTCTTCTGAACATATAAATTGCAGAATGTTCGGAATCCTATGGCTCTTACTATATATGTTGAAGACCGGATCGAACTCCGTTGGGAAGTGATGATCACGCGAAATTATTCGGCTTTATCTATAGAGATCAATATTTTCTAAATCTATACAATAAACCAATCAATAAATGATAGTCTTGCACTTCTCAATCCTTTCGTTGTTCTATCATAAATTCCTTTTTTTTTCTGTTTTTAACTTAGCATTTATGACAATCAATATAGAAAATAATATTAATTCGTCGTTTATCACAACATTGAATGAAAATAATGAAAATTTAATTGAAATAAATCAAAATGGATCATTCAAATCTGGTCGACAATCAAGGTATGAATGATGACTAGAGTGAATGAAATCTTTTCAATAAACTCTGTTATTTTTCCCATATAGATCATGTCAATCAAATCGAAATTCATCACTACATAGCTTAACATCTCGTAAAGAAGAACAGTTATGTCATTCTGAAAATCAATTAATTCTACCTAGTTCCATTGGGATGCCTCATATAAATGAAATTATGCTGACAGGAAATAATGATACTTTACAATCATCAGTCAAATCGGATTTGCGTCGATTGAGATTTCCGTCAATTGATCGAATTCAATATCAATGTAAATAATATTAGTTTTATAATAAAATAACATTTTTGATCATTTTACTACGCAGTATTTCAAAATTTCACGATATTAGCAGTTATTGAAAAGATTAAGGACCGATGGTATTATTAAAGAAGTCTAAACCAGTGAAATAAATTGATACGGAGAAATGTGGTCATTAGGAATTCAGAAGATTAGAATTTGATAGAAGTCAAAGAATAGATACATCTGCGCCACTGCAAACGATTTTAAGCTATGTCATTCAAATTCTAACCAACAGTTACTATTTTCTCCTGCACCCTAATCAGATAGCCTACACCTACCAACATAGCTCACTCAACTTGTTAGTTACTTCAGGGTTTTATGTCATGTTTTTGTCTGGACGCCCTTAGCCTTTTTCTAGCCTATCCCTACACCACAAAACATAGCTCGTCGAGGCAGGTGGTTAGGCATATGTAACACATGATGAAGTTTCAAAACTTAATCATCAGATAGGCATCCTGACTCAGTACCTCTTTCCTAAAAACAGCGTTGCTTATTCGGTGGTCCCAGGATATACGGGCAATGCATCGAAGACACGTGACCAAAAATTAGTAGCCTACAAATATCTTCTACTCTTACTGACATTGCTTCAAAACCATAAAGTAGGATGGAGCGAACTGTTGCTCAGTACACTCGTCCTCGCCTACGATGTAACAGAAGCAATTTGGTGAAAGCTAATTGAGCCTTCTGTATCTGTTTTAAAAATATGTGAATAAAAAAAAATTCTATCTTAAAAAATAAATCAATAAAAAACAATATTTTTTAAACGAATTATACAATATTGATGGAATAAATAAAAAATATTCACTTTCATTTGAGTGCAGTCTTTCATAATGTTGCACAGAATAAAAATGAAAGTGCATTGAACAACATGTTACCTAAGTTATCATCCTCACTTGTGACTCTCATCCTCAAAAGAAATGAAATTATATCGGTTTTTCAAATCATTCCAGTTTTAAATAAATATGAATTATCCAATTTTTACTCACATTTCATTTTAGATTCAAGCACTAAACGACCTTCCAGAATTTCAACATCTACATTTTCAAGTAATAGAAGTACAATAAGCAGTAATACTCGTTTTGATATTGATGAGGTATGGTAGTGAGTTTAAATTAATTTGTTATGCTATTTCGAACAACGTTATAATTTGAAATATAGTTTAAGTTACAAGCTGATTTTAGTTAGACAGTCATTGAAAAATTAGTTGCACTAAATAGCTGCTTCATTCTAAGACGATACTTCTCAGCAGTAAGCAACTCCCATTCTTACTTATCCTTCAAACCAAAAAAATAATGATTTCTATAGAATTCATACATTAATCGACTGTTAACATCTATAAATGAGTGTTAATGTCAGTCACTCACTGTATCAACATCTTTTAACAATATTTTCAAACATTTACAAGATAAACTCCAATAAAACGAGATTTAGACTTAACAACTCTGCACATTTTGTACCACATTGCAATCAAACATATGGTACGAAATACTAAACTAATAAGTGAAAAATAAAACTTTAAATTTTTAAAAACTAAATACTATTCTCAAATTTTGAAATGGAATTCGGAAACATCGGTTTCTCACTGATTAACTGTATGAAAACATGGATATCTAAGTCTAATCACATGTGGAGGACTGTAGATCTGTACTAGTAAAAATCCAGAAATTAAAACAAACAACTCAGCCATTTCCACTTTTCAATAATTTACTGACTGATACCATGTTCGTGGTGACGACTGATTTCCAGTTAGACGGTTTCTACAAATCCTGTATTGCAAACAATTAAGTAATATAATATCCAACTGGCAAGATGCCATCCTTAGATGAAGCAGAGTTTCATGTCAACTTGAAATAGATAATGTCTAAATTCTTACAACCTTACATCACTAAGAATCAACTAAATTATATTAGTTTAGTGGAGATATATTCAACTTATTTTGGTTAATATCAAGATTCAAATGAATTCCGTACATTATTAGTAACCTGAACTGTCAGTGTCGAGGAACAACACTTCTAGACATTTTCTTTTCGAAATTACTAATTATGACCTTGGATACTCCATGAAACACAAAATAACTTTCCTAACGATTAAATGACTTAGATGCTCTTTAAATTGAAACTAACAAAATCATTTGTGAAATAGGTAATAGTCTACATACTTTGAAACTATGTAATAAACTCTATCACAAATGAAGAGATGAAATAGTATTTATCAGGCAGTGAAAATCTTTAATATCAGAGAGCCTTAACCACGGTTGATTTAAATTTAACATGACTTGATAATAAATCAAGCTATCCTTCATAGTTGAAATCATGAAGTGATTTTATCTGGAATTCAAGTACCAATGGACAGCCATTTCGTACTAGCATAGAACTCCTCAGCAGTGTACATCAACGACTCATGGACGCGGGGACCGAATCCAAGATCTTTGGTCTTACAAGCAAACGCTTGATCTCTATACCACTGAGTCGGCATCCAGTGGTGCTAATTTCTAACTTCGATTGATCCATGATTTTGCACAACTTTCATCTATTGCCTGTGGTGGAAACCGGTCTCCTACTCGACAGAGATTGAACTCTTCTGGTCACAATTTTGAAAAAAATACAAATTTCACAAATTCCCCTAATTAATATCAAGATATGCTTATTTCATTAAATTGTTACAAAATAAAAATTTCCGAATATTTTACAGTTTATATTTACAAAAAAATTCTTGTTATAACGTAAGTTTCTGAATTCACTCAAAATACTGTTAGAATTAAATTAAACACGATTAATTTTATAAATGAACATATTATTTTCAGGCAGAGTTTTGGAGGTTTGTGTTTTTACACATTTTAAATCATCAGTGAATCATTGTAAGACCACCATTAGAAACCTGGAAGAACTGAACGACCATTTCGTCCTAGAATGGGACTCATCAGCAGTGCGCATCCACGACTACTGCTCCTCGCAGGATTCGAACCCGGGACCTTCGGTATTGTGCGCGAACGCCCAGTCATCGGGCCACTCGGCTGGCATCCAACGGTGTTATTGTCTAACTCTGATTGATCTAGGGATTTTGTGCGACCTCACTCATATTATATTATTTACAGAAATTTAATTGATACTTGACCCGTTTAGTGTGATTAAAAGATATATTATATACTGATTTTTAACATATATGAAAATGTGGTAATAGCCACGTTTTTCAAAACATTAACTCATTTCTAATTAGTAGATGACTGAATTTACTCACCAAATAACCTTGAAACTCACTTTTACACGTTAATTATCTACAAATCATCAAAGAACTATTTTTCTTCATTGAATTTCAATTTGGTTGATCGTGTATACAACATTTTATTTGTTTCAATGGATGAATTATTCAGTTAATCAATTTTTCTTATTTTCAGATAGGTTTTCTTCCCCAAATACATATGTTGATATATATATATATATATTAAAATTTGCGAATAAAATTTCCTAGTTCTTAATACATTAAATTGACATTAAGTAGGTTATCTTGTATAGTGTTTATTACATTGATTGGATTTCAAGTCATTTCACTACAGAAACTAACTCCAAATGTAAAATAAACAAACCCCAGTATTTCGTATTAGCATCTGCTCATTTGAAGGTTAGCATTATTAATCACATATATTTTAAATATTTTTGTGATGACATGAAATTTATAGTTTTTTTTTTAATAATCGTATGATGTTGACAACTGATAGTTCTAATACTGATAAACCCTTTAGATTTTCCTATTATTGTCTGACATATCGTTGCTCTTATGAACGGATCTCCACTGTTTTATCTGAGGTCACAGGTTGTTAATTGTCATTGATTTTAAATAACTCCACTCTTTCGTTTTTAAAGTCTAATCCAAGTTACTTTCAGAGAAAGAAATTACAAAGTATCCACATTATCGACAACTTTGGTATTGTCTATTAGTGTTGTTTGAAATCAAGGAAATATCACTTTATTTTGTTACATAACAGTATTTTACTTTTTCATAAAATGAAAATTATGATTAGTAGTTGGAAAAACGATTTAAAAATTAATTATATGTCCAATTTTAATAAACAAGACGTTGAGTAATAAAATCCACTTGTTTATAATTCGCATATTTTCAGATTATTTTTACACTTCGTGAAAAAGCTACCCATAATTATCATGAATTACGTCGTAACTTCATTATAAACGATCCAATGGGTGTAGGAAATTTACGAAGGTAAATTATTCTATCACATTGATAATGTTAATTCACTATATATTTAATATTATTTTTATACATTTGAGGTACAAAGAGACTGGTGAAAATGTATCACTAGGTTTAGCTCCAATGTTCATCAATATGTATTCGGTAAGAAGAAGTGTCAATTAATTTCAACCTAGCAAAGGTAGCGTTAACGAACTGTTCAAAGCCTCTAGACCTGCAGTTGAAGTTGATCATTCATTTTAACATGATTATTGATTTTATACTATACGCAAATATGATTATACGTTACTATAAGAAACATTGAAATCTTGATTAAGAAATTTGTAGAGATAAAATACTCAGTTCATTGAATAATCAACAATCTATTGAAATAGACTTGCTCTACTATCCGATTCAAAATAATAAACAACCACCAGGTCCATGAATCAGACTAGGGATGAAAACAATGATAATTAATTCATCGGCTTCAATATAACATATGTTATAGGAAAAGAATACAATTTTAGTGATTTGCCATTTATAGCAATATTATGTGCCTCTGTACACAACCCGACCGTAGCTGCTACCTTGACGTGGTGGTCAGGCTTGCTCATCGTAATGACCCAGCTGAGCTTTATTGACTAGAACACATGATCCTGAAGGTTCTACCATGCCAAGCAGGTCGACTGGAGAACGATGAGAGTAAAAGAAGCTACCCTCTAGAAATAACCTTCCACGTTGTTGGCAGCCGGGAAGTGACAACCGCCTTCATACCCGTAACAGCACACGAGACCAAATCGGTCAAACCTAGTACTTCTCTTATCTCCACGACTAACTCTTCTCACATTTCTTTATCATACTGCACAGCCAATGCAAACAATGCAAGTTCACGAAACGTCATTTCCGGTCTCCTGAAACCCCGTTCTAAACTACATGTTGGAGGATTTATTGTATGGGCATTGTGTCAAATAGGGCAACAGGCTTCGTTAGCTAGAAAATTAGAATCTCGCTCAATCGATGTTTGCTGTGTCTCGGAAACGATCATACAGAATCTTCGTGTATCCGGTAGCCCTGATGCTGCTTCCCGGCGTCTTGCTGGTGTAGGCATAGCACTGAGTCGTAGAGCAGAACTACCTCTCCTAGACTGGATCACTGTAGATAGTCATTTGTGCGCCGTCCGACTGAACGGGACAGTAGGAATTCGAAAGGATAGGGACACTCGTCGTTGCCTCTTCGTCATATCAGCCTACGCCCCCACTGACTGCAGTTCAGACGAAGTAAAAGATGAGTTTTACAGAAAGCTTTCGGACCTCCTCCAAAAAGCTAGGCGCTCTGACATAGTAATAATGGCTGGTGACTTTAATGCTCAAGTAGGTAGACTAGGTGAAAAGAAAAGACACTAGGGTTGGCCTTATGGTGTCGCGGCTCAGAGAACAGACATCGGCGACCGTCTGTTGCAACTATGCTCAGATAACCACCTATTTCTAGCAAACACTAACTTCAGGCATAAGGAAAAACATCTTTTGACGTGGCGACCCCCAAATTCGTCTCAACATTGGACCCAACTAGATCACATCGCCATCAGCCACCGATGGAGGGGTTCGATAGAGGACTGTCGCTCGTTCTGGGGCACATGTTTAGATTCAGATCATGCCCTAGGGCGAGCGCGTATTTGTTTGAGGCTTACTGGACGTAGGAAAGACAGCGTAAGAAAGCCTCTTAGGATTTCACTTAATGATAATAGGGCGAAGAATATATTTCAGGAACAACTAGAAAGACAGTTAGGCGACCATTTAAGCGATTCCCATCCGGAGGCAGGTTGGAATGCTATCAAGAAGGCTGTGGAAACAGCAGTGATATCTGCTATTAAGGTTAACCATAAGGCTAGAATGAAGCAGTGGATTTCTGTAGCATCCACCGATTGGCTAGGCAGAATCTGGGAACTGGACCTAATCCCATCCGAGTAGTCTCAATCATTGATTGTCCCAATCTATAAGAAAGGACAAAAGTCTTCTTGTGACAGTCACAGGGGAATAAGTCTAACTATTATAGTTTCTAAAATATTGGCCTCAATAATACTTCGATGCTTAACGAAAGCACGTGAAGAGCAGACTAGAGAAAACCAGACTGGTTTACGACCTGGACGTGGCTGTATGGACAAAATCTTCACGGATCGACAGGTCCTGGAATATAGACACACATTTAGTCGTCCGACAATAGTTGTTTTCCTGGACCTAAAAGCGGCATTTGACTCAGTGGATCGTGAGGTTCTGTGGCAGTGTCTGTCATTGAAAGGTGTACCAAAGAAGTACATTAACCTTATACGAGCCCTCTACTCGAACACCACTGGTCGAGTGAGAGCTTATGGCGAATTGTCACCGGAATTCTTCACGTCAAGTGGTGTCCGTCAGGGATGTCCACTTTCTCCATTCTTGTTTAATTTTATCATAGACATGCTCTTAGAAATAACCTTATCCTCGTCTGAATTTTCAGGAGTAGACTTTTTACCAGGAGGGTCGCTCATCAACTTAGAATATGCCGATGACATAGTCCTACTTGGTGAAGATGCTGACGAAATTCAGTCTTCTGACCACCCTAAGCAACAATGCAAGCATTTTCGAGGTGCGGTTTTCCACCTCGAAATGCAAAATGTTGCTTCAAGATTGGGTTTCATCGGCACCTAAACTAGTTATAGGCAGTGAAGTAGTCAAACGTGTAGACTGCTTCACTTACCTAGGGAGTCTCATCAGTGCCGATGGCCTGGTGACTGACGAAACCTCAGCTCGGATACAGAGGGCTCGATTGGCTTTTGCCAACTAGTGTCACTCATGGCGTAGGCGAGATATCCATTCGCTAACCAAAGGACGGGTCTACTGTGCAGCACTTCGCTTTCCTACTGTACGGATGCGAGACTTGGTCGTTGAGAGTAGAGGACTTCCGTAGGTTACTAGTCTTCTGTCATCGATGTCTCCGAAGCATTGCTCGTGTATCCTGGAACAACCGTATAAGCAATGCTGTCGTTAGGAAACGAGTTCTAGGTAGGGACGGCAAATCAATAGATGAAGTAGTGAAACTTCATCAGTTGAGGTGGTTAGGACATGTGTTACGTATGGCTAACCACCGACTGCCTCGACGAGCTATGTTTTGCGGTGTAGGAGTAGATTAGAAGAAAGCTAGGGGCTGCCAAACCAAAACATGGCAGAAATCCATGAAGTCACTGACAAGTGGATTGAGTCATGTTAGTAGATGTAGGCTACCTGGTTGTGGTCAGCAACACTATAGTCACCAATGGTTAGAGACCTTGAACGACATGGCTCAAAATCGTTTGCAATGGCACAGGTGCATCCACTCTTTGTGTTCTCTCTAATTCTGAATTCCTCATAATCTCTATCTTTCTCCTTCTAAATTTATCTCACTGAATTATACTCCTTGAATCATATCTTCGCTGCCTAATCTTTTTCATTGCTGCTAGTACTTCTATTATTGCTATCACTCTTGGATTTGAACTGACAGTTGCGTTTCTGTGTGCTGATGTGGTATGGCAACCTGAACTGATGTACTTACGTATGAAGTTCTGCGTTGTATCTGCCTATACACAAGGTTTGAGCATAAAAGTAATTGATTTAAAACGTACATTACGTCAAACAAATTTACTGTATACATACTTCACTGTTAAATTCTATGATCAGAAAATTTATTTCAAGTTTCGTCAATACATTTTTTATGAATCGAACAAATAAGAATTGTAATTGTTTTTATATTGAAACATTTCACTATTGTAAAATACTCGAAGGTATTGGAGTGTAAGGATTAGTTTCACTAATGATTTGTTTTTTGTTTGTTTTGTTGTTATGAATTTGTAGTTTTAATACCCGCAGATAAATTCAAATTTATTGAATCAAATCTTTGAACAAGTGTACTCATTATAAATAAGTGATTTTAGTTCATTTACTAAATACCATAACAAACAATTTGCTATTGAATACTTTAAAAAAGTACAACCAATGACAAATTGTTGCCGATATAAAAAAAAAAATACAACTGATATTTTCAGATATGAAGATTGGACTTAATAGATTCCAATGAATTCAGCTTTGGGTAGAAAGTTATTGATAATAATTATTATAATTTCTAGTGATATCCCAGTGAGAAAAAAATTTTAGTTCCTGGCCTTTCGTGACTTCGTTTCTCTATCATTAAGAACGAAACAATGAGAAACTATGATGAATTCTAGAATATACTGAGCATTTAATGAAAAATGATAATAATTTGTCTAGTGTATATAATACAGTAAGCATTAGTTTGGTCATGAAATCCCTCAAACTATGATTAAAGTTCAATGCTGTTCACCTTTAAAGCAATAAACGAATGAATGAAGTGGCTATGAGAACTCTGGGGTAATACCGATTATTGCTAATTTATTTATACCAGACCACATATCTGGATGACACATTTGTCATCTTTGAATAAAAGCTCCTTTTAGATATTTTTCCAAACTGATAAACACGTTCTTTGAAAACATCAAATACACTTTTAAAAATAAAAAATGAATTCAATGAATTAACTTTCGTAGATTGTTTAGTTAACAATTAATCTTATGGAAATTGTAATGTAAGCATGTACCAAAAAAACAAAACACATTCAAAGCGTTATATTTGGGTTAACTCTAGACATGCATCCAGTGTGAAAATTTTATTCGCCGTGAATCGATTCAAAATGTCAGCCAAGGTGACTTCTCTAAAAAGAGATTCGCTTAAGGAAAAAGATAGTCTGATAAACACACTACGGCTTTATAATTTTCCTATGGGTATTATTAAAAACTCATTAAAAGAAATTAATCTTTCTATAAATAATAATTCTAAGGAAAGTTCTTGGAATGGCATTGTAGTTTAACCTAATCAACAAGGTACGACAGAAAACATTCAGAATATAGTTTTTCTATAAACAATCAGCACTTCATGAAATGCTTTATTTAGTAGGATTTAAGGAAAAGATCTACACAAATTTGTCTACAAATTACGTTTTACCGACTGTAATGCCTTTAACACTGGAGAATCTTTCTATAAAATCTCGAATCGTATGAATTAACACTTAAACCATACAAATGCCCTGAAAATCTCGTAGAGCCGAAAAGTTTACAAATTAAATTGGCAATAACAGTACATGCTATTTTCAATAATCCTCAGATCGATATGAAAAATATCAAATTAATTCAAAGGCTTTTCCAACCGAGACTGTTTATTCAAACAACAACATTTGGATCCTACTAAATGACTACGCGGTTCAGTACACACAAAAATAACGTTTTATTGTTGTTTTTTCAACTCTTCTACTTCATATCACAAATTAAATAGTTTTCTTAACCACTTTTATGCACACAAATAAACACTTTAAGGTGCACATACACAGAATCACTCTGGTCGATAAATGGCAAAACATTGATAAATTCAAACCTATTAGGATTTTCAGCGTAATAAATATATTCAAACTTGTGTTCACTGGTTCCGGCTACTTGGTCGCTGACACATCCTAATCATATTTATTTCTTTAGTTTGATGGAGTGACTTTCATGTAACGTCATGAAAGGTCAAAAATACACTATTTCCACTATTCCTTGGGTTATCACAGAAAAATGATGATAATTATTTTATCATTATTATTATCAATAATACTAACTTGTATATTTACTGATATTTATTAATAATTTCTAAATTGTATTATTCACTGTATCAGTCAAACAATTTATGTTAAAACAATTTTCTACACATTAAAGATGCATAAATCCATGTAAATATGAGTTATGGAAAAAATTTTTCATAGAACAAATGGTTTTTTGTGTGTTTAACTTGCAATCAAACTATTTTATAAATGGCCGTAGGCAAAAAACAAAAGCAAGTCAAAATTTCATTAACTTTATAAAACAAGATAAACAATCATGCACACTGCTGAAGAGTCCCGTACTATCTCGAAACGGCTGTCCAGTGCTTCCAGGTATCTGATGACGTTCTAACAATGATCAATTTATGATTTCAATGACATCTAAACAGTTTTTAATATATATATTGACCATATTTTAAGAAACAGTGAATATCAGTAACCATTGGATGATATTGCTGTATTCTTGTTTTAAATTGTTCAACAATGTGGTTAACAAAATATTCTTAAGATTGCCAAGTTGGAATCAAATTATCTATATCTATAGAACTTGAAGGGCCAAGTAAGCCTTTATCAACTTATTTATGTGATCTAGTAAACTAGATCGTATACATACATACCTTTACTGCCTTTGTTTTCCGTCATGAGTGCTCACATGTTTATAGTATTTCATTATTTATTTACAATAAACGTCTTCCTGTCATAACTGGTGTTTAGGCTTTTGTACATTTTCGAAATATCCTTAATAATACGTATAAAGAGTTGTTTAACTAATAAATACTCAGTAGATTGACCGACGTTAATACAACAAGAAAAGCCAAATACTGATCAATGCTATGCGAATTATTCTTATTTTTATCTTTGAAAAATTTTTATTTTTGACTAATAAAAATTATTTGAATATATCTTTTATCTTCTGAGGACGCAAACAATAATGAACTGTGAATAGAGTCGAATGTTGAAGATCAATTTAAGATAGATCAATTTCGAAAACTATCATCAAAATAGTGACTTTTTAGTTGAAACATATAGTGGTAAATCTTGCAATCACAGATTAAAATATCATTCAATGTTATAATAATCTAAACAATTGACTTTATCATCAATGACTCTTTCTTGACCTAGCTACAAAAATAAACTGCCATACAAACTGAATATTATGACCATATTTATTTCAAAATGTTAGCATATTTTTATTATTGTAGAGTTAGAGATATGCAATTGTGGAGATTACCAGCCTTTATTCGTTTGAAATTATGAATTGATTATTGTTAGATCATCATTAGAAACATGGAAACACTGGATTGTCATTTAGTTCTAGTATGGACTCATCAGCATTGTGTATCCACAACCCCCGCCCTCAGAAATCCACGCCCGAGACCTTCGGTCTTGTGCGCGACGCTTAAACTCTAAACACTTGTTAGCATGTTTATTAGCATTTAAATTTCTGATTATCTAAAGGTATTTTGTGCAAAACATTATCATTTCAACGATAAATGTATGTGCGTAATTCAATCAAAGTTTTCGAAAAAAAAACTAGCGCAATTAATTCAGAAGAACCGCCTTAATTATATACATAAACTTTATGTAATATTAGATCCAATTGTTAACTAGCATAGAATGAACAACCTGTAAAAAATTCAATATTACAGATGACATTTTTTCATGATAATTTTTTTCAGAAAATTGTCACATTACCATATTTCAAATAGTATATAGAATAAAGAATTCATTTCTTTTTTAAATTGTTCAACTGTCTCAAAAAAAAATACTTTTAATTTTGAATAATTCATCAATGCATCGTTGTGATTTCATTAGTTGCATGCTGTGAAATTATTCTATTTTCATTTTAATTCAAATATATCCCTTAATAGTATGGTTTAGTTTTCATCACGGAATGAGTTTAGTCTGACAATTATTAAAATCGGGAGTCACTGAAAAGTCATTATGTTCTTGTATGGAACCCCACTAGCAATCAAACTCAGGACCTAAGTAATTAATCTTTAAGCCAACGAATGGCCAGTGAATGGTTTAAACGGTAGTGTAATAGGAGGAGTTTATTAAAGTTATACATGTAAGCCGATGGATACCTATAAGTTCGTTTCAAGTTTAAGAATCCTCCGAAGCAAAACGGTCTCCAGAAGAACTTGAATCTAAATAATGTACAAATGAATGTCAACCAGCATGACTTCTTACCACCGATCAGTGTATCGAAAACCATTGAGGTATCTGTTAATTTACTAATTGCACACTATTGAAGAGTTCCATACAAGAATGAAGCAACTATTTAACATTCTAACTAAGGTTGTTCTGTCATAAATGCAACGTAAATAATTACTGCGTTTAAATAATGTTCTATTTCATGTTTCATTTCTTATATTGATTAATTTTTTTAATCATAGAGAAGCACTTGCTCGAGTATTGACACGTTTATTATTTTGGCCAGTTAAACAAAATCATATTATTCAATTACTTAATCAACTTGGTTTCCCTAAAGACAAACAGGTAAATTAAAACTTGAATGTTTTACATGTTTAAAAAGTCGTCATTATTTTAAAGCAAAAAAAAGTTAATTCATTACTACGTTGTTCAAATGAGGGTGAGAACGAGAAACTGATATAATCTGAAATAGTATTACTTGTGAAAATATGATATAACTGACTAACCACTGGGTTGATGATCAATATCATGTTTTTCTGGTCCTTTTGGCGATGATCGAATTTAATCGATCGATTTCCAACGTACTGACCATTAGTATTACCCATTCATCATTGAGTGTATTAGCTCAATTAAGGCCCAAATAGTTTAGCTGTATATCCTCAAACTATGAAACTGGGTGCTACGGGTTTGAATTCGATGGAAATCGTCAGTTACCTCAAGAGTACCAGATAACTTGAAACTTAGGTCGATCGAGATTTCCTGTTGACTACCAACAACCACCTTACATCTCAACAAATGCATCGATTGCCGAAGGCTAGGAAGGAGGTTAATTTCCACAGTTCACAAGTGATATGGCTAACGCCTCTTCTGTTTGCAAAATGTGGAACCTGATTACTCCATATAAATTATCCTTAACATGATAGATTAATAAAAGTGATTATATATTATACTGTATATATATATATATATATATATATATATATATATAGTGTGTATACTTTTATGCCGATCCCACAAGGTTTGTACCAGGCCTTCGGACAAATTATGTATTCTATTCTTCCCGAGTTATTATTCTCACGTCTTTTGACCTAGTTAATCATTCGTTCATATATTGGTTGTTTTTGCTTGAGTGTGTGTGTGGGCCGCTTACTTCGCTTACTTCCTATCTAGCTTATTTTGTCTGACTTGAAGTGCTTAGTAATACCTCATTACACTGAGTCGACACGCTCGCCTTCTCTAATTTGCTTGGTTTTATTTTACTTTGCTTGTACTCTTTTCGTTCTCATGTCTGTCTACTTGAACGATTGTGCGAAATAAATTCATCCAACGGAATTCGCATTTGGCTTCTAATTACTGGCGTTGCACAAATGGGATTCTCCTAAGTATGATATACGGACTCTGAATGAGAGATTTTATTTCATCGCGTACTCGATCGATCATAAAGATCGGAGTCATCGCGGGCCAAAACATTAGTTTATTCTGTAATGCAATGAATTAAATTCATCAACTGAATTATTATTCTACCTCACATACATGAAAAATAAATCTTTAGATGATCGGCATAACTGAATCTTTCTTTAGGTCGAATATTTCATTATTCTTCTCATTTAGAAAGGTGAATTGACAACTCTTACTGTACATACTCTTCCACGATTCGATGTCTTCAATGATGAAGTTCATCTGATCAATTAGTTTTGTTATCTATCATAAGTTGTAGTAGCACTTAGTCTGTTTCTTTTGTTTCACTATTAATTGATATATTATTTTACAAATTACATAATCTCTTACCATAGATTTAATATAATAAACAATAATGTTGATAATAAGTTTGAGTAAATTCGGAGATTGATTAATTTCAAATTTCATTATCATTACTACAACATGTCTGCGAACATTAGACTGTTATCTCTTTCTTACCGAAACAAGTTCTGCTAATCTCTTCCTTCATATTAATCATTTAGTTATAAGTGACCGACTTTCAAATTACTCCCTTACGTTCCAATGAAAAGATTAAAATCAATGAAGTTCTGGTGTGTTTGGATTAGGATTATTGTTGGGCTATTACTCTTGATCACTAAAGTTGACAGTCTATACGATTCTAATTCAATTCAAAAGTAGTAGATATATTTATCTATGAAGTTTACTGTAAAAAAAACCGCTAACTAACTCAAAAAAGATGTTTGTTAACCTTCAAATGTTAATCTTAAGAATTTCGTAAACTACAACTGACTAATAACTTAGTAACCATCTATATCATATTTGTTTAGTTCTTTAGTACCAGTCGAATTCTATCGATGAAGTTGCACAAAGATTACTAATCTAAAAGATTCAACTCTGAATCGACAATGTAGCGATATCAGGTGGCTTGGAGCAGCCGATTAACGTAGGTTTCATACGAACTGAAATGTACGTTCAATCCAGTATGTAATACAAGGTCAAATTGTACATCGCTCTCAAGATGACGGGCAAAACACATTGATAAGTATCGACTGGTTTGAAACCTAGATCAATGGCTTTCTTTTAATAAGTTCCAACCATCTAACAGTTTCATAAACCTACTAAAAAGTATCTTTTACAAACTTAAACTTTTAACTTTATGATAGTTGGTCTAGTAGATTTTCCAACTAGAGATCTCAATTTCCATCTTGATTAGTTTATTGGTTTATCGTGTTAACCATTAAAAAAAATAAAGAACTTTGCATTCATCAAATATTCAATACTTCAATTTTTCCTTTGTTGACAGTTGTTTAATAAAATAATTGATCAACTCCCCTTTTTTCACTTGTCTCAAATTACTAGATAATTAATTTTACAGAATTTTACGCTGCATTGTGTCCACCAAATAATAATAATCTTACTAATCATAATAGTAATTCCTATGAACACAATTCAATCTCATTGAATAAAACCAATGATTTGTCTGATAATAATAACAATAATAATAAATGTTCAAACAGTGATAGACAGTTAATGCCTGTAGATCAAATAACAACAACAACACCAACACAATTCATTGAAGATAATAATACTTTAATGAGAATTCATGAAACTGACAAATTAATCAACACTTCAATCAATGACAGACTCAACAAACCCAATTGGTCATTCCTAACGGAATTAGCACAAACTAATTCAAAAAAACCTAGTTCTCTTTTAGCTCATCAAATTATGAGTATACTTAGACAACGTTTAATAAAAGGGTAAGTTAAGGAGATTAATATTGAATTTTTCACTTAAAATAATATGCATAAATCACTGAAATAATTCATACATTTGAATGGGAACCCAATTCAATATTGTGTTTACAATTAATTCAGTTATTTTAAATTTCATTATTTTGTTGTAAAAATATTCTTGGAATAACTATTCTCATTAGAATTGAATACCAGTGATCGCTGGACACAAATGAACTTACAAGAATATTGATATCAATAAAAGCCTGGTAGATATCAAAAATCAACGGTTAAAAGCAACGATACATAAATTTTTACCTTATAATACACCGTTGGCTTCAAGTAAGCTAAGTGTCCGCTATTTGATAAAATGATTAGAAACATGACTACCATATAAAGTGTTCTGTGATAGCAGAACAGTTAAGTTTATGGCCCATACTGGTAACCAACCACATTCATAATCAGTAGTGAAACGTGGATACCTAAAAAAGTAGTTATTTTATCGCTATGAAATCTCATACATAAAAATGATTTTAACTAAAGACTAAAATAATTTGATAAACCGATGAATCACTATTCGACCAATGTTAGACGATCATCAGAAACCTAGAATCATTCGGCAGCCTTTTCGTCCTGGTATCGAACTCATCCGAAATTTACATCCACGACTCCCGCTACTCGCGCTAATCGAACTCAGGATCTTTGGCCTTGAGAGCGCACCCTTAACCTCTGGACAAATGAGCCGGCATCCAGTCGTGTTAATGTCTAGCTTTGATTATTTCCACGATTTCGTGCCATTTCATCTACTGTCTTTGGTAAGCACTGCTTCACAGCCGAACAGTGTTGAACTCCAACACTGATCGATTCATGATTTCAAAATAACTGAACAATCTCCATAATCCTATCATAAAAAAACCAGTGAATATTAGACAGCAATAACAATTTACCTCATATACGTGTACAACTCTTCAAACCTTTTTATTTTATCGCTATATGGAGTAGAAAATAAAATCATTGTACTTTGCTACCATTACAGTATTTGTTAAACCAGTGTGTTGAAATACAGGTGTCCAAAGTTTCAGAAAAATTTCGTAAATTTATACTTTAACTGAAGATTCGTTCAACATAGACCAATGTCAACTAACAAAATATTTATGTGTATAACTTGTTGTCTAATAAATTAGGATAAAAAAGCGAGTTAATATTTTCCCTAATTCGGTTTTGACATTTTACGCTACGTTTAATTATCAGTATAACACTTCAGTTAGTACAACACTTATTTTACATTCAGCAGTATAATATTACTTTAAGTTAGTATGTTTTTATCAATTAAGTATAAATTCTATTCAGTATGAGAGGTATGAAATTTAGCACAGTGTGATAATTATATTCTTTGTACTAATTCTTTATGAATTTCAAATATGTCTCACAATAACACCTTATTATGTAATCATTAAATAATTATATATACAGTCTATTGATGATATGATTTCGGATATAACTTGTTTACGAGATTTTTCCTCTTGGAGATTCAATAGATTTTCATTTGTACCAGTCTATTTGTTTTCATTTAATGTCACTGGGATCACACAGATTCCCGTTTTTAAGTATAGGCAGTAAGATTGTATATATAATAGAGCCAATACGTACATATAGAGATTACCAAAACATAACAGAAGTGACATTGACATAACATCGTCAGTTACTCCGCCTAGATAAATTAAACCTTTCTACAGTAATTTTCATCACAAATTAACTTTAGTTAAGGAATAATTGTTAACTGTAAAACGATGAATAGTAGTTTTAAATGTCATTTAGGTTCTTTAGTTCATGACTGTATACATGATTGAATCTTCGTCTTTCCAGTATTCTAAGTGATATAATTCGTTATTTACACTAAAAACGCAAAATCAGAGGAAAAAATAACAAACTCTGTAACTGTTGATTACGGTAATAAGATTTCTCAAAAATTCCAAAAAGACATTTTCTGGAAATGCTTCTATCAATTAACCTGATTATCCTTTCTTTATCCTCGTTAAATATTTGTCGAACTTACAACGGATCTTTGCTCACTTTTCAGAACATTCTATAATCTGTAACTCACGTATAATTCAATAAATACCTTTGCTTCCTCTATACAAACTATCCTTCCAAGTAAAGTTTACCGTATATACTCTACTTCTGTCATTTTTTTCAGAATTGATGACTGACAACGTATGCGACCAGAAGGTGTCTAGAAGTTGGTGTTTGATCATTTAAGTGTATAATTTATGTAACAGATATGCAAAATAATAAATTTCTATAGTTGAGACTGATTCGATTTGCTGTATTTTTCAATCAACGCAATATTTTACTGAAATCATTCAAATCCCTATTAGAATGATCAAATCTTTGATTATTTTATTGTTTCGTTTAATACGAATCATTATGATAAATGATCAAAATTATGACAGATTAATATAAAATAATTTATACATATATTTCTCTTCATAATTATCATTCACAAGTTTATAGGGTCGCCATTAATTTGATATATTGGTTTTATTCTGACAATGAAATGTGAAAATTCTCATTTACTTTATTTTCAGTTCATTATATAAGTTTATATAGTAAATAAATCTCTATTGTATAAACTATGTTCCTATCCTACATTTTATCACTTAAATATGAAATCCCTTCTGTACTGTATTATCTCTGTAGTAGTAGTAGTAGTAGTGTGGTGCGAGCTACTTATAAGTAGTATATGACGTGAGTGTCAACGTAATGTCTGGCAGCAGAAGATGGGGGAAGATCAAGAAAGGAAGAGTTAGAACACAATGGAATTTGTATGAAACGCATGAATAGTGACAATGCATTGATGTTTTGCAACAGGAACAGTCCAGTTCCATATGATGAACTGATATTTTGCAAATTAACGATTTTTCGATATGGTTTTCCGATTTTACTGAGTAACTCTGTAATTTTCGTTAAATACAATTCGGTTGCCCCACCTGTGTTTTCGTTCACTACAGTAGTAGTAGTAACAGTGGTAGAGTTGTTGAATCCGCTGAGCTACATGTTTTAATTGTAGATCTGTCATGGCACCTACTTTGCATAGATGTGAGCTTCCTAGATATTTCATAAATGTTATGTCAATTGATTCTGATGGTCTTGTTAGTGACTAATTGTCTTTGTAGTTTTAGTCGTCTTCATTCGACCTTTCATTCATGTTGACAGTTGATTGACGCTTAGACAGTGCACATGGAACAACTCCACCAGTCCGCAACTTTGCATGAGTGATGGTCAGTTTCAAAAATGCCATTGGTTTAACACTTATCATCATCAATATTGGATGATTGACACACTACCATAAATTAACTGAAGTTGAAAATATAGATAATTGAATTCAACTTCACTAATTTGCACTTCAAAATGGTTGTTGCTAAATCTGAAATTTCAAAGTCTAAACTTTAATTAAGCTATTCATATGCATTATTGAAGAGTCTTAGGTAATTTTAAAAAAAAGAATGTAATGCCTGTTTAATGCTTTCTTATTTCTTCAATAGATGTCATTCTATGACGAAAACCTTCTCAAAATTCGAATAATATTTGTACAACTAGTAAATTGAAATATATTTTCATAAAAAACTTATCTGTCTGTTTGTATCATATTGTTAATATTTATTAAATAATGTGGATACATTGTTTATCTTAATAAGGTAGTCATTTTTCTATTATTACCTATACCTACTATAGATGTTAAATCCGATAATTATTATATGTTTATTAATTATCAAAGTTTAAATCACAAATTGATCTTAGCTGAATTACTATTAAAAATTTGGAAGAACTAAATGGCCTTTAAATCACAGTATGAAGCTCCCCATCAGTTATTTATTGTTTTTACACATTCAAATCATCAATCAATGATTGTTAGACCACTGTTAGAAACGTGGAAGCACTGGACGGCAGGTTCGTCCTAGTATGGGACTCATCAGCAGCTCAAACGCACGACTCATGCCACTGGCAGGATTCGAACCCAGCACATCCTGTCATGTGGGCGAACGCCTAACCACTGAGCCAGCAGCCAACAATGTAAATCTCTAACTGTGATCAGTCTAGGGATTTTGTGCGACCTCACCCGTTTGTCTTCGATAGTTACTACCTACAACCAACGGGGTTAAACTCCAATGATCACGTCCAATCACTTCTGGTTTTTTCATAGCAATTTACAAATACCTATCGACATACATACATTTACACAAACATAGGAATTAGACAAAATGAACATGGATAGAAATATTTTCTAAAACAAACGAAGTTAAATAACCTAATCAGAAAAAATGGTAAATAACAATCTTTTTCGACTGTCAAGCACATATTTGAAACATTGTTTAAGATTTATCTGAATCCAAATTTAGTGGTTTTGTGTAAACATCCTTCCAGTCGGATTTTGCAAGCTTTAGTCAAAAGAATATCTAATCTCCTTGTCTGTCTACTAGCAAAAACACTTGTTCATACACTGAATTCATCTTCGCAAAATATATTAATTATTCAGAATAGTTCGATTCATACTGTTTTTTTCCGATTATTCTTACTTTTTCGTCATTTTTCAATTTGTTCAGTTTGGCTTCTAATTTTTCATATATCAGTTGTCCCAACAAGTAACTAAATGACTAAATTACCGTTTGAAATATATATATATATATATATATATATATATATATATATATATATATATATATATAGTTCTAACAGACTCTGTCTTCTCATTGAATTGCCTATATTATCAGTATTAGGTCCTGGAGATAGTTGAGTTCCGTTTATGTCATAAATTGACCATTGTTAGACCACCATCAGAAATTCGAAAGCACTGGACAGCCTTCAAATTCTAGTATGGGACCCCTAAGCAGTGGACATCCACGACCCGTACTTGCTGGAAACGAAACCAAGACCTTGGATCGCGCGTGTGAACACTTAATCTCTAGACCACTGGGCCGGTGTTGATATCAAACTCCAATTTCCTGAAGTTAGTTATTATTAAGAGAACATAATAACTGTCAGTATAGGGGCTGTTGAGATTGTTGAGTTTCATTGCCTATTTTCATTTTATTTTTAGTACACTTCAATTGGATAATTTGTTCAATTTAAATAATCATGATGGAGAGAATCAGTTAATTGAAAGAAATGAATTTTTTCATCGACTTTCTCAACTTGGATTATATTCATCTAATAGTGAATTTTTAAAATTTTGGAAAAGGTCAGTGACATGTTACTTCAGCTTGTGTATTTATTGTTGATAATTTTTCGTATTTTATGTTTGCTCCTATTCTCTGATTATATTTTCCAACTACACGTATTTCATATTGAGAAAATGTTTCATTAAAGTGGTTGGCATATATATATATATATATATATATATATATATATATATATATATATATATATATATGTTCATCTTAAACCTTAATTTTAAAGCAATTAGAGGCAACTTCTCACATGTCAATAATAATATTCATTGATAAAATGAAAGATCAATCAAACACTAGTGATCATGAACATTTACAAATAAATCTAGATGTTAGCTAATCGCTATTTAAAAAAACTTTTTATATTTCTCTAATGTTTAAGTGTTAAACGCTACAGAACACAGTGGAAAATTTTATTATCATACTAAATACTTTGTTCTTAGAATAATTAACTGAAATCAGAAATATAATACGGGATTTAACTATCTACAATTTATGATTTTCTGTTTACTTAATTAACTGTGTTGTTATTACAGAGATAAAGAAATGTAATTTGTAATGACATATAGCCCTGTTGGGTCTTATATTGATCGTGACTAAATGTTTAAGAAGTCAATGCTAATAACTTTGAGGAATAGTTTATCCAAACTTCAGTTCTTTTGATTCTGTTATTAATGATAATGTGGTGTGAACTACTTACGCTGGAGATAAGTAATATGCAGTAGAAGTGTAGCAGAGTGTTGCTCTAAAGTTACACAAGAAGAAAGAAGTTTCGGATACGAATCTGTGACACTATCTGGGTGTTTTGAGTTAAAGAAGACATGTGAGAGAAGATAGACAACAGTTCACTTGTTTTGCAAATAGATGTTTGAAGATAAGATGTACTCATTTTACCTTTAACAAATAATTACGAAGTGTCAATATCTTCAGCATGTAACTCAATCGTACATTGTTTGGATTATTCTGTTGTATATTGTTGGCTAAGATTTCATCAGCCTTTGTTGGAATATCAGCATGCTATTAGGATTGCATTGCTAAAGCCATTGTGACACTAGCTTAGATAGAACTAATGAAATGTGTGTTAGAAGTGGAATTAATAGCTAAGTAATTAACACGATGACGTTTGAAACAAAAAGCACTGAGTATGAGTCCCGGAGTGAGATGCAGGTACGTTCAGTTGACCTGTTCCAAATCGGTAAATCTTAATTTCGTATTATCGGTACTGTTGATCATAAACAGTGTTTTAAACAACTATTTAAGATTGGCTTCCCATGTACGGCTAGTTGAAATAAAATATGATGAATCAATAAGTTTGAACTGAGGAACACTCAATCTACAAAACTATTTAAAATGTGATTTCTTTTTTCTACGATTGATTTTTATTCTGGATTTATTAAGTGCAAACTGTTTATAAATCTATTGAATAGTGTATGGTCTAGTGTATACTCTGATTCTCTAACTAGTGGTGAATTCTGTATCTGATAGTCTAGTCTATGAATCGTATCGGGTATAATAACAGTCACTAGTCATGTTATCATATAATAATAATGTATCGTCAAAAATAGAAAATATTTTTATTCCTTATTTATGTGTTATAAAATTAAGAGTAATCCATTAGAATATCTTTATCAAGTATTTAAAACAGTTGGACCTTTATTTACGAGCTATCCTAATATTGTCCGAATATACAAATTCATTTAAACGAACTTTTAAGAATAGATGCTATTTGTAAGACATTACAGTATCTGATAACAGTTAATTCCAAAGTACTACTCCTCCATGTTAATGATTCAACACAGAACACCAAGTAAAAATGGTACATCGTAATGAATAGAGAATATTTCAAGTCTTAAATAAGCACTAAGCACTTCCTTAGTTAAGTTATAAAATGATACATCAAGATATGTTTGCTGTTTGTTTTTTTTTAAATTCTAGATTAAATCCAAAAAATGAACCAAATCTACCGATTGGATGTTTCTTAAAGCATATGAATTTAAAGAATAATAGTAACAATCGTAATAGTCAGAACAATAATGAACTACAATCGAATGATACACTGTTAGGTTAGTTTAGGAAAAAAATCATGATATGTATAATATTGTGTGATGTTTGTCATATAATTATGAATCGAATATTGTGTTTACTCTGTTTGAATAAAACACTAATTCTTGGAGTTCTAAAATAAAAATATGATCAGTAAAGTCCAACTATATCGAGTGGGAAACATTTACCCACCACTGGTAATATAACTAATTGGTTGAAGGTAGATAGGTTAACCGCTAAATATCAACTTAATAAACTATGAACTAACGCTCATCCTCCCAGATTAGATTGTGAATGCGCGCTGCTGAGAAGTCCCATACCAGAATCGATGCGGTTGTTCAATATTTTCTAGTTTTCATTGGTTATCTATTCGTTCACATGTCTAATTTCAAACCACCTGTGATGCAATGTGAACATGATCTTATGCGAGTACGGTGTACACAGCTATGTAGTCTCAAACAGGGATGGCATAACTCTACAGCGAATTCCAATATGTCTACTGTTTTTAAGAATTATACTAATCATTTCTGAAAATAACTTGAGGCTGAGCATTTTCCATAGACCTACATTTAATGAAAAGTTTGTTACTTACATTTTGGCTATTGTGTACAAATGACTAACAGAAAAATTGAGACTTTTACTTTTCTTTTAATTGTTGCTTATTTAATTGACGTCATTTGTAACCGTACAACGCCATCTATCAAGAATAATGAACCCAAACAGCGATAACTTATGGAAAAAAACATTAGTTCTACTTTTATTAACTATGATAATAAATATTGACTATACTCGAGAAAAGTAAGATTCATAGATGCTTTTAAAAGTTTCATAAGAAAGTTTCACTTTCATCCTATCTTAAATAGTACATTTTTATCTAAATAGTTTGATGATTGAATAACTAAGGTAAAACAATAAACTTTAAGATCATTCACAGACAACTGTTAATTAACACTTATTTCTTGTGGATGATGGCTTTTGTGATTCTCTAATTTTTCGCCCAATACAATAGAACTTTCTTGACATTTCGATTGAAAATTGTGACTTGAATATTTGTTGATAGTTGTTTTGAGTTCCAGATGTTCTTCAATGATAGAAATGCTGCACTTGCTTTGCCGATCCGCGTCTTCACAACTCCATCAGATTTACCGTACTTATCAATGATGCTGCCAAGATATATAATGATTTGCACATCTTCCAAAGTTTCTCCATCAAAAGTGATTTGATTTGTGCGTGTTGTGTTGTGTCGGAAAATCTTGCTTTTCCCACTGTAAATACTGAGACCTACTGCTGCAGAAAATGCTTGTGAATAAACACGAACCACATTCAAACTTTGGATAGAAATATCAATATGAAAGCACATTGTACATATGTCTAACTCATAGGGGAAAATGTAAGGTGAACATGAATTGAAGAATATAATTGCATTTCTACTAATGAAATTTCATACAATCAAACTTTGAATAAACAAACAATTTCTCTTCTTATCACTTCACTTTCATTTTTTTTCTTTCTTTCATTTTTAGCTATCACTAATGATGATATGACACTGTCATCATCATTAAACAAACAAACATTCACTTCAGTAAATAAAATTATTCCCAATTTAATGAGATTATTTAATAAGGGTTATCGAAATGCATGTACAGCTATTGAACATTGTACAAAACAGTATATCAGTAAACAAGAAGAAAATTCAACTTTATTAAACAATGATTTACTGAATATGCCAAATGGTTATACTAATGCTGAGATATTTTTAGAAACATTAAAATATTTGAAATTACCAATACTCGAAAAAATACAACTTGGACCATTTTTTAGACGTTATGGATTAACAATTACAAATAGAGGATTATTACCATGCATGGAATTATTTCGACGTTTTCAAGATCGTTCCGAAGCTGGTGTACTACATCAAATGTTAACATATGCATTAATTTCTAGAAAGAAATCTTATAGTGAACAGTAATTTATTAAATATATGTGATCTTTCTTTTCTTTGAATTATGAAAAGGATTACAAATATTCCCATAAATATATATATATATATATATATATATATGTACAGACATTATGCCTAGTGAACATCTTATTGGTTAACTGAACTCAGCCATTCAGTTATTAAAGCGCAGGCGTTTTAAGTTTGACGTAGCGGATTCGAGTCTCAACGTGAACACCAATACTATGATAAATGTACATTTACTTTACTAGTCCTATACAGGACCAAACACTCAACTGGGATTCCACTGCGAGCCTTAGTCTTTCCATTCTATGCAAGAAAGAAGATTCTTTTTACAGTTTGTTTATATTTTCCTATAATTAATTAGGCAATATCCATTTCGTTTAGACAAATCTGTCATTTAGTTTTTCATTTCCCAAATTAAATTGATCATGATCATAAGAACATGAAAAGTAAATTTTCTTAGCGTTTCTGTGAGTGTATATGCTTGAATATTGGTTACAGGCCAATAAGATATTCATTCTGATAGCTTTAGTGTTAATCGCTTAAATGATTCAGTGACTCATTCATTTCCCTGTATGTATGTGTACATTTTAATCCTATTCATTCGATCTTCAGCATTCGCGTATAATTTTATTTTCATTTCGTATCCTTGTGGTTTTTTGATTGGTGTGGTGCACTGATAAACGTTATCAACGCTTCATATTCGTCTTATGAATTGTATACACCGTTGGGCGTTATCTTATAACGGTTATCAGGTACGAGCAGCATATAGAGTTTAAGAATTACATTGAATATTCACTGCCATCAGTTCTTTCTGTATCTTCATTCAATTCCGGATTGAATATGTTTTTTTATCTACATCTTTTCATTTTACCTTGACTATTTACATATAACAGAACGGCATAAAGTACACTAGCTTATTAGTAAAATATTCGACTCTTAATCTCTAAGTTTTTGCTTAGAGTTCCTTTCCAAATGCTCAGATCAGTTTATTCAGATAGTACAATCAGCCTTCATCCGTTATGTATGGTGTAAAACTGAATATACTAATCTGAACTGAATGGGTTGCATGATTATCAAAATGATGAATAGTAAATAGTTTTTATTTTTATCAAAGACTTATAAATTTCAATTAATTTTAACTCTGCAATTTAGTTTAATGTAGATTATTTATTTCTATTCAGAACATTCAACAGATTGTCAGTGAATTGAATTTTTTATTTTTATGTTTCTTTTTCGCAAATATAGAAATGAAACTATCATCCAACTTGAACAAGAATTAATACGAAAATTTCATCTAGATTTTTTAAATTTACTCAATACATTTAGGTATTGATTAATGTTAACTATTCATTATGTTATTAAATTTCATCAGTAAATTATTAAATAATTATTTTTCAATAAAATATTCATAAATAATTAGTTTTCTTTATAGTATAAATAATTAAATATATATATAGATATAGATACAATGGATTTCCAACTACTTTACTTGATAAATAAATACCCAAGTCTATAAGATAAGTCAATGCAAATATTGATCACTTTTATTTTGTATATTGAATAAGAATTTCATTTACTGTTGTAAATTAATCAGAATTCGGTGAATTTTTTATTTAAAAACATTCATTTGTGTATATGTATAAATTAATGAAGAAGATTTGTGGAGTTTGTAATATTTTCATGGTTAAAATTACAAAGTGATCTTATTCAGACCATCATTAGAAACCTGAAAGTACCAGATGGCCATTCCGTCCTATGATGGGACTCATGAGAAATGCGCTTCCATGAACCGCGCGTGCGGGTGATAAGGTGAGCGCCACTGGATGCTATCTTAGTGTTCAAGAGTTTAAGAGTTCTCGCGCGAGACCAAAAGTGTTACGCCTGCATGTAAGCACGTCATTTTGATACACTTGAACTATTACGAGTTTACCTTAGTCGGAATACGAGATTGAGGATCGAGGATCCAGCGACACGACATGCTACTCAATCCGATTATGCCAACCTCCATCGAATAAAAGAAGAAGACTTTATATGAAGTAGTACCTGTATTCTACAAGCATCCAGAAAGTACGAGGTCCGAGTCCAGAAGAGAATCAGGATCCTGGACTAGCGATCTGGGACCCGGTCCTGGTCATAAAACGTTACAGATAATGCGTATTTTGGTCGAACAGGAAACAGCATAGAAGTCTGTAATATTGACAGTTAAGACGGTCAATAGGAAGCAACATTTGAAGTGACATTGATAGTCAGGACAACCAATAAGAAACAACATTGGAGCACTTGACATTAATATCTAGGACGACCATAAAATTGGCCAGTAGGAATTAACCAATAGGAATTGGACAATAATTCTCTTAGGATATTGGATGAATATCCTGACAAAAAGTACTGGGTTCGATTGTCGCGAACAAGCATTACTGAGGAGTCCCATTTTAGGACGAAACGGCTATCCAATGCTTCCAGGTTTCTAATGTTGGTCTAGTTAAGATCAGTTCGTGATTTAACCGATATATAGCAATTACAGTTTTAAATTGTGTGAGGATTAAATTAACGAAACTATTCACTATATCTGAACCCCGTGATATACACAAACTTTATACATTAATTATGCAACGAGTTACTGTCGAACATTTAGTGCTGATAGAAATCTGTCGGTTAATTTGTAATATACAATCACTAGTCTAACTAACTTCAACTGGCAGTTTATTCGTAGTTGATAAACGGAAATTCTCGGTCTTAAGATTTATCGCATTTGGTACTCAACACTGAGACGTATTTGTAATATTAAAGAGGCCAATATCATATTCAAATATATTATCCCTGAGTTATTTATTACCTTGAAAGATATCTTTATCGAAAAGAAAAGTTTAAACTATTCAGTTATGAAGCCGTAACTGATTTTAATTTACAGAAATATCCTACTTATCAGTTATGAATAACATGAAGCTTAAGTCTATACAGCTTCCAATAAACTTAACTACGCTTAATAAAGTGTCTCTAAGTAATGTTAATCAAGATTTTAGAGTGTATATGTGTTTGCCAAATTATTATTCTCATAAATTGAATGAAATGATAAAATAAATTTTCAATATTATTATTTCATTTCTTATTTTTCAATAATCTGTATTCACATTATCAACTGAGTATACCTGAAATCAGTTTTCAACCTATAAATTAAATAATCATTATCACAGATTAAACTTTACTGTATCATTATTAAAATCATGAATTGAACCAATATATTGTTTAAATTTTCAATGCAGGTGAAAAATTTCCCGTACAAATGACACTAAATTAGAATGAAACTTAAATAAATCAGAACTGGAAGTTGTCAATCGCCTTAGTAGTATACAATACTAAATAGGATTCACTTAATTACTCAATCACTTAACTGATAAATATGAATAACGAAACTTGACTAAAAAGTTATTTGATTTTGTTGTTCATGGATATGATTGATCTGTTTTTAGGATGCTATCAACGTGAATGAGTCAAACTTACCCATAAAATTTGGCTTGATGACGAGACCTTCAACTTAAAAAAATAACTTACATAAACAGATAGAACGACTGTTCAACAATAAAAAGTCTATTAAATATGAGAAAATGACCCACGTATTTTTTATATATGGGACATTCGACGTACAAATAAACACGATTAAAAGTATCACTTCAAACAGAGGTGATCAGACAATTTTCAGTCCACATGATATGCGTTCCTGTCTTGGGTTTCCTTTCTGTTTACTATGTCACTAGTGCATATTCCTAGAAAGCCTCATTCTAGGATGAAACAGCTATCCCGTGTTTCCTCTTTTTTCAGTGATATTTTAGATAACATCAGTTTATAATTTTTAAAGTACGAAAATTCTATAATCTCAGCAAAACTCTATACTGATAATTATTATTGTCTTTTTATGAATTGTTAGGAATTTCGATCTACAACGTACCGGGATTGTTAGTCCCGAAAATTTTCGCATTATTTTATTTAATCATTATGGATACGAATTTACTAAGGAAAATTTCAATGAATTTTTAAATTTATTACCACTAGATTTCAATGGAAACGTGAAATATGCTGAATTTATGAGACAATTTAACTTCAAGTATGACTATTCATTTATTCATTTTAGTTTTCATAATGATACTACTATTATTCGGTGCAAGTAGTTAAACTTGCTAAATGTATTTGTTTGTCAACAAAAGGTATCAAAACTTTAATAACTTCAGTTTGTGTGTTTGGCGGAATCGTTAAGTTTCTTTTATTTTTATTTCTAGTCCATTTATATAAGATTGCTGTCGATGAACCTACCGGGAATATAGCTTATATCCAATGTGGAGCACTTACCAACCAATGGTATTTAAAAATGGTTGTGTTATATCGCGAATCGATGAAAATTAGAAATCTAAACTAATGGATGACAGCTCAATAGCTTAAATGTTAAACGCTCGCCCTATGACCTAAAGGTCTTGATTTTTATTCCTCTACGTGATCGTTGATGAGCACTAGTTCAGGGGATCCATACTGGAACGAAACAGATGTCCAGTATCTTCCGGTTTTCGACGATTACCATACAGTATGATTTAATATTCTGCACACACCCCAAACACTGAATTATCTACAGTTATTGATGTTAACCACGAAATTTCATTTGGGTCATATCTTTCTCTCTCCGAGACCTGAAAGTTTTATATTCAATCGCTGATCAGCTATATTACCACGAAATCCCGAAATGAAACAAAATTCATGGTTCGATGATGCTTAGTTTATACAGTTCATGTCAGTTTTGAGTGAAGTTAATCTTACCTAAATACTTTTCAACGATCTTGTTTCGCACTAAATCGATCAAGTAGCACTATGGCCACTACTTTTATCAACTCAATATTGTGACATACTTTGTTTGATGTAAAATGGTTTTATATATTTTGACAAAAAACTTCGAATATGGACAGCACACATTAACAAGAAGTATTTGCAATTTCGAAGGGTGTTATAATACACTTCAATTAAATCTGTTTTCTATATGAATATATTTAGAATCATTGTTAAATAATCATTTGCTCAATGTAATATTTTTTTGACAAACTAAATTACTTCGCCTTATAATGCAAATGTATTTTAAAAATGACTTGTTCTGTGTTTAAAAAACAAACACATTCAATATGATCAATATGTTGTTAAAATGTCAATACTTTAAATGTATTTTATTTAGTAGCAGCTGTTACATTTTAAAAGATCTAACCTGATTTGCGACAATAAAATAGTTTGCTTTTTTAAAAAAATCTAATTCAAATTAAATTTCTACTGTACCATATTAATAGATGACTTATCTGAATAATTTATTTTTTATTAATAGACGTGTATATATTTAAAACATAAATGTTCCATGTCATAATTTCACTCATTTGTCGACTGTGTGAACAAATAATCTCTATTGTGTATTAGTTTATCGATAGGAATTTGTCTTCATTTCTGTACGCTTAATATTAAGCAATTAATGAAAACGAGCATGAGTATTTCTTCCTATCCGTGACTTGTCAACCGGATGTATTTGCATTCCAAAGTTAATTTCTTAAATAAAACTGGAACTGAATCTGCATTGCTTCAAGCTGTGAAGTCTTACACATGAAGTTAAATAGGCTAAATTAGTATTAACTTGATCATTAAGTAGGAAGGCACTAACAAATATTGGTTGTTGATTTTTGATGCTGAGTTCGGACCAGTATGTGAACAATAGCATAATTCAAACACTTAATAATAATTAATTAAACACTATACCTGTTAAGAATGTTAGTGACTATCCGAAATACACGGTGGCGTTTGAAAATATTTTGGTTTGAATCTCATCCCCGTATAGTGTGCATACTTTTATGCCGATCCCACAAGGTTTGTACCAGGCCTTCGGACAAATTATGTATTCTATTCTTCCCGAGTTATTATTCTCACGTCTTTTGACCTAGTTAATCATTCGTTCATATATTGGTTGTTTTTACTTGAGTGTGTGTGGGCCGCTTACTTCGCTTACTTCCTATCTAGCTTATTTTGTCTGACTTGAAGTGCTTAGTAATACTTCATTACACTGAGTCGACACGCTCGCCTTCTCTAATTTGCTTGGTTTTATTTTGCTTTGCTTGTACTCTTTTCGTTCTCATGTCTGTCTACTTGAACGATTGTGCGAAATAAATTCATCCAACGGAATTCGCATTTGGCTTCTAATTACTGGCGTTGCACAAATGGGATTCTCCTAAGTATGATATACGGACTCTGAATGAGAGATTTATTTCATCGCGTACTCGATCGATCATAAAGATCGGAGTCATCGCGAACCAAAATCTAGATTTCACCCCTAACTACATACGAAATTGGGCTATTTATTACTGAATCGAGTAACGTTGACCCAACAAGAATTGAAGAGATCAGAATGGCAATCAGACAAATCAAGAGAGACAAGGAAGAAGCAGCAGACAACATTCACGCTGCGGCACTGAAAGCAGACTTAGCAGTAACTGCAAAGATACGGTACATTCTCTTACGCAAGATTTGGGTGGAAGAATAACCACCTAAAACCTGTAGAGAAGAACACTCAATCAAGATACTAAGAAAGGCAATTTCAGGTAGTGTGAGAACTACAGAGGCATTACTCTGCAATCAGTAACAGGGGAAATCTTTAGCAAAGTGTTGTCAGACATATTTAAGGATTCTGTAAACGCCCACGTTGGATTCCGTTAGGATCGATCGTACACCGACGAAATTGAGATACTACTAATCATTGTGGAACCAACAAGGCAATGGAATTCACCACCCTAAATGAACCTCCTTGAATACAAGAAAGCATTCAAGAGCGTGGACAAGACAACATTTGGATGCATCTTCGACACTACAACGTACCTAAAAAACAGTCAGCATCATACGGAACTTGTATGATGGATTAAACTGCGAAGTCATGCAGGGAGGACAGCTGACAGACGCGTTCGAGGTGAAGACCGATGTCAGGCAAGGTTACCTACTATCACCCTATCTCCACTCCTGATGATCGGCTGGATTATGATCGTGGTGACGTTTCGTTCTCTGAACTGGATGTTTTGGTTGTGGCGCTTTCATCGTTCTTCAACATCATCGGTACAAACTTCAGATAGAAGTGAAGTATTCGAATTTCTCCACCTCTGACCCATAGCTTGTTTCGTTAACCTCGATCTTGATTAGTTGCTGTTGACCTTAAACCTATCGTTGTTTGCACCTTAAGGTTCTTCTTAATGATAGCATAGCGAAGAATATATATCAGGAGCAATTTATTTTGTAGATGAAATGAAAAAGATTGTGAAAAACACTACACAGGACAAAGTGGTTGTCATCTTCAGCTCCGTTTACGTGAAAACCGATCAGCAGTCAAACGCCACAACAATTCTTCGCTCATATCAATACTTACGGACAAGTATGGATATACGTTCGGTTGGAACAATTCCTATTGCAAAACATAGCTCGACGGGGTTAGGAATACGTAACATATGTCCCATTCACCTCAAGTGATGAAGTTTCAATACTTAATCAGCTGATATGGCATCCTTACCTAGCACCCGTTTCCTAACAACAACATTGCTTACTCAGTTGTCCCAGGATATACGAGCAATGCCTCGGAAACGTCTATAACCGAATACTAATAACCTAAGAATGTCTTCTACTCATACTGACCATGTTTCGCAGCCATAAAGCACAAAAGAGTGAACTACTGAGCAGTACACTCGTCCTTTAGTCAGCGAACGGATAAGTCGCCGACGACATTTCGCCATAAGCTCTAACTCGACCTGTAGTGTTTGAGTAGAGAGCTTGTGTAAGGCTAATTTACTTTTATGGTACACCTTTTAAGGACAGACACTGCCATAGAACCTCATGATTGACAGAGTCGAATGGAGCTTTTAGATCGAGAAATTTCACTGTTGCGAGACCTGTGCACATTTGGTCTACAGATCCATATCACGGTCCGAAACCAGCCTGGTTTTCTCAGATTTGATCTTCACGAGCTTACGTTAAGCATCAGGGTATTATTGACGCCAATATTTTAGATACTATATAAGTTAAACTGATTCCTCGGTGGTTGTCACAAGAGAACTTCTCTCCTTCATTAACTTTCCGAACCTTTTTTCTAGTTGTTGCTGAAATATATTCTTCATTATGCTGTCATTAAGAAGAACCTTAAGAGGTTTCCTTGCGGTGTCTTTCCTATGTCCAGTAAGTCGAAAGCCTGGCACTCAGGTCAATCGGTAATCAAAAAACACATCAACATTGACTCGATTTATCAACCAGTCAGAAAAATCATAGGCGACATAGGATTAAGAAACAGATCAGAGGGGGATACAGTCAAAACAAAGGTGCAAACAACGATAGGTTTAAGGTCAACAGCAACTAATCAAGATCGAGGTTAACGAAACAAGCTATGGGTCAAACGTGGAGAAATTCGAATACTTCACTTCTATCTGAAGTTTGTACCGATGATGTTGAAGAACGATGAAAGCGCCACAACCAAAACATCCAGTTCAGAGAACGAAACATCACCGCAATCATCCATCTGAGCTTCAAATTTTCTCTACCATCTCAAAATCATATGAGTGTCACGCTGGATTATGAAGACGTCAGCATATGGAGGGAAGCACGAGATGCAGTAGACAACTAGGAGGTAGGTAGATGATCTGAACTTCTCAGATGATCTGGCTCTTCTGTCGCACACGCAACGACAAATGAAAGGGAAGCAGCCTCAGCAGAAGCATGTCTCAACATACATAAAGGGAAAAGCTAGATTCTCCGATACAACACAACATACACAAACTAAATCACTATTAACGGTTAAGCTGTAGAAGATTTTAAAACCTTTACATCTTTGGGCAGGCACGGATTGGCAAAGCAAGTGCAGAATTTCTACGACTGAAAAACATCTGGAACTCAAAACAGCCATCAACCAACACCAAAGTCAGAATTTTCAATGCTCATTTCGAGACAGTACTTTTGAATGGAGCAGAAACTTGGAAAACCATCAAAAAACATCATGCACAAGTTGCGGGTGTGTATTAACTGTTGTCTACGCAAAATACTCCTCATCCTTTGGCTGGACACCATCAGCTATAACCTACTGTGGGTGAGAAAAAAAACCAGATCCCAGGTTAGGAATAAATTAGGCAAAAGAGCTGGAGGTGGAGTCCAGGACGGAGCAGGTTTGACGATGCTGGTGGGTATCCTGTTTTTGATGGAGGCTAACAGACCGCAAAAAAATATATTGTATCGACACAATCTACTCATAGTTCACGTATAAAAACACAGATTAATAACTTACATTCCTAAATGTTGACAGTGTTACCTTGCAAACGGATACTTATAATATCACTTAATCTCCTTTGTTTTCTCTCATCTTTTAGGAGTGGAACATGTGAACCATCATTAGAACAGGAATTCAATGGTCAATGTGAAGTTAGTCATACTACTAATGAACAAAAATGTTATGATAAATCTGTGTTTTCTGGACCAACATACACTTTGATGAGTTATACGAAGTATAGATGAATAAATGATTGGCATAAGTTGGGCTCCTATCATACTTGCTCACACATTTCTGTTTCATAAATTACATCACTAACTTTTAAGCCAAACAGCAGTTAAATAATACAGAACATTAGACATTTGTTTCCTCTTAATATGGGGTTTCCCAGCAGTACGAAGTCAAGTCCATTTCTGGATTTAGATCCATGACCTTCAGATATTACAAAAGGTTCATTACCTATAAACTTCGGAAAATGGTTACTTGAAACAGAAAAAATTAGGTTTCAAATGACACAAGCAAGTAGACAAATCTAGTTGTAGATGTAGACTTCACTCATCCTGCAAAAACAATACGACAACTTGTTAACCACATTTTGGCATATCTGTGCAAACTTTACTGATATTTACTGATTAGATAACTAATGTTACACATATTACAAATATGCGAAATACAAAGATGGATTTTCTACTGAATTAATGCAAAATTATTGTTCCATATTGTTTTGAACAAATACTACATTAGACCAATTCCGAAATGTGTTATCTTCAATAAGCATTCCGTTCAAATCTAGTGAAAGTTGAACTGAATAAGTATTACTTATATATCATACTATCTTAAAGATCAATTGAACATTGCAATAAATAAATGTCACTATGAATTAAAAACTGGTCTCTCATTCATTCCTTTTATAACATGTGGATATTTACCGATTTATATATCCAACTTCATTCAGTTCATGATATTGTTGTTACTACTTCTATATTCGTAAATATCTACCATAATATCCGATCATTTGATCAATTGAATCGATTTCGATGAATCTATTGATTATTGGTTGTCTATGCGAACAAATGTGCCCATATATTCAACTGGGAAATTGCTGAAATCTTATATAGAGGGAAAAAAAGTATGGTGAATTCTACTTACGAGATGGCATTTTAGTAGTATGTAGCAGAGTGTTGCTACCTGAAAGTTGGTACCAGAGAGGAGTGTCTAGACACCTAAATGTCTAGCATGATCACAGTGTATGGAGGACCAGTAGAGATATGAGCGAAGATACTCAGAAGCCTGCTTGTATTGTAAATGAATATTTCAAGATTAGGTGCATATATTTTGCGTTCATGACAGCAGTAAAAACATCAGCGAATTTTTAGAAGCCTGACACTTAGAAAATCGGTAATCAAAATACAGACGTTTTAGGATATCAATCAAATAATAAAAACCATTGACTAACAATGGATCGAAACCCAGATCAAAGATAAAGATAACATAAATAAATCTCTAGACAATATCAAGTTATAGGCCAACAAAATCAAAATCGAGAAATCAAGCTATCACTCATATAAAGAGAAATTCGCTTATCTTATTTCTAGCTGAAAGTGTTGCTAATGTTGTTATTTAGGAGAACAATGAAAGTCTGACGATTAAACTAACCAGCTTAAAAAATGGAAATTCACAAAAAGTCCGTTTAAATTAAACTGAAATCTACTGAAAATCAGAATGTGCGTTATCATTTCTATTTCAGACTGAAAACTCTCACACATCATTATCAACTATTGTCCCATCAAATTATTATACCAACAATAATAAACAACAATCATTAATTGAACCAGTTGAATGTAATACAACGAATGATACTCAATCATCATCATCATCATCATCATCAGTCAACCCTATGATTAAACAACAGCGTACATTAAAAGAATTAAAACAAATTATACGTGAAACATTAAAATCAGATATTCATCAAATTGAAAATAAATTTCATGAAATAGATCAATATAATTCCGGTCGACTAACTCAAGAACAATTATATCAGTTACTCAAAGTGTATGTGTTTATTAATATATATTGATGTTAAAAATATTACTCTTTATTTCAATTTATATATGTATATTTACGTTAAAAACAAATTTACAGAGGTCATAGATAAAAATAATGTACTTGCTCTAATCCTCCTTGATAAATTTACATTCCTAACATACGATTCCCATGATTTTGACATTGAATTTTCGGCTAGACTATCTATCATTAGATTATAGTATTTTACCTGAGCTTAAATCTGTATACATTTAATTGAGTTAAGCCCTTCAATTGACTTATTTATTAACAGTGTCATTCGAATCGTAACAATGGATCAGTTTTCGTTCTGTTATTGTCACGTTTGCTTGAGCTTCTATGCTTGAACATGTGTATTATAGACTACCATACGCATATTCCTTTTACTACCTTAAAAGATAGTTGAGCTAATCACTTATTGACTCATTCATATATATGTTCATCTTGAATCCTACGCATTTATACTTCCATATTCACATCTGTCCGTAAACGATTTGTGTGTTTGTAACTTTGTTATCTGTGTTGCACAATAATAAAATGTAGACAACGTTTCGTATCATCCTCTGAAATGTATACACTATTGGAAGTTATCTGATAGCGCGGTTATTAGGACAAACGATATACCCACAACATTGGAATTATTTTAAAGAGGATCCACTACACTACAACTAATATAGAAAAAGTTTTGGTACATTTTATTTAAGTCATCCGTCAGTCAATCATATGTAAAACAAAACCATATATATATTACGCTTCAATCTTGAAGCATAAACTTTTGGTTGATGGTTACTGTTAATGAAAAAGTCAAGGTTTCAATTTCTTTTTACTGAAATTTTGAACACCTTGCAAAAAGCATAATTCATTTTTTGGATGTTATCACTTAGTAAAACAATTACCATCAAATCATTTATTGAGCAAAAGGATAGATAATTCAATGTTCATTAAATTCAACATTTAGATAATATCAGAAATCAATCATTTTTAGACTACTATTAAAAACCTGGAAGCACAGAACCGCCGTTTCGTCCTAGCATGGGACTCTCCAGCAGTGAGCATCTACGAACCTCACTCGTGGGAATCAAATCCAGGACTTTCGCTCTCACGCGCAAAAGCTTAACTTTTAGATCACGCAGCCGGCATTCAACGATGTTAATAATTATCGCAAGCGGTAATCATGGATGCGCACTGTTGAAAGTTCCCATACCTGGACTTGATGGCCGTCCAGTGATTCCAGGTTTACAATGGTGGTCTAACAATGATTGACTCCTGAATTAAAATGAAAAGAAACATACTCCATTCCTACTATATGTAATAAATCAGGATGATAAATTCTAAGTATAATCTATTCATTTCATTCAGGGTAAAAAAATAGTAACAAGATTTAGGTGTCAAAATTATGATATATAGACTCATATATATATATATATATATATATATATATATATATATATATATATATATATATGAATGATTTATTTTAAATAATTAACACCTTATTTATAGAATGAATTCTTGAGATAACTCTAATATTAGCCTAAAATATGATCAATAAAATTAATCCATACAAAGTCTTATCAGCATAGAAAATTAATTACATCACTTGAATTATTAACCATTTTTAGGATTGCTTAATTATTTCCATCAATAATCTATGCATTACATATTTCGGTATTTAGTCGTATGTTAAGGCAGTTGGTGGTAGCCACCACAAAACTATAGCCGGCCTGGTTTACTTGCTAAGTAAAACATATCAGCAAGGCATTCCGGTAATATTCATTAAACGATAATGATGATGCGATTTGAACTAATGTTTTGGCGTATATTACTCACAACATGGCTGGTAACTAGTATGCAGTTTAGCAGAGTGCCACCATCAAGTAACTGCTGAAGCGAAAATTGTCGGATCCGAATATATGGTATGATCGAAGTGTTTTGAAGATTAGGAGACATGTGGAAGAAGACACAATAATCCGCTTGTTTTACAAATGGGTGTTTGAAGTTATATACATCCTGACCACTAAACTATGTTTCCTTCAAATAAATAACTGATCCCAACTGGTTTCACTGTCTTCGTTTATTACGATATCACTTAGTCTCTATATCAGTGATCTATTCAGGCTAAGAATGATACTCTGAAGGACTGGGAAATTTACAAGTATTTGTGTATTCGTGTTTTGCGTTGATAATTGTGCAAATAGAGGGGAGAATACGTCTCAAAAGCCACAATTGAGGCAAACCTGTCGGTTGTTATACAGTTATCCACTAATGGTATCGGAAGATGACTTTGCAGCATCGTAAAACGGATCGAAGTCAAAAATGTAAACTATGATATACTGAATCAGAGATGTAAACGTCGGGAGCACACCTTGAAACCTGAAAGTTTCTTGTTTGACTATCGGTGAAGTGGTTGATTCGCACTGTTGGGTAGTCCTACACCTGTAGTTCAGTAGTTTATATAATGGACCGACCTTAATTGAACAACTGTTGAATAACAAGAAGCAGGGAAAAGAATTTCCTCCTTGGTATAGAAATTTTCAACAGTGCACATCAGTAATCCCACCTGAGGATCTCATACAATAGCATTATTCCATTATAGGTATCACTATCGATGAATAGTTCCTCCTTCTTTTGAAATTGGTTCATGAAAACGTTTTTGTGTTAATAATTCCATTTTTGTGAGTAACATTGACTCATTAATGCCATTCCTATCACTTCAGAAAATCAGTCTAACATCAACATAAATATATAATTTTTTCACAGCGTATTAGGTGTATAAATCTAAGTCACATCAGAAGAAGTTCATTTATCACTGGAAAATTACAGCGAATGACAGTTAGTGGAATCTGACTGAAGACACGTAAACGACAAGGAGTTCTGATATTACCTCAGGTAGAGTAGAATTCAAATCATGAGTCGATCAATGTCAGACCATCATTAAAAATCGAAAAGTATTAAATGGCCGTTTCATCCTATTATAGGACTCTTCGGAGATGTTCATCCACGACCCCAGCTATCGGGAATGGAACCCAGGACGTTCGGTCTCGCGTAGGAACACTTAACCTCTGGGTCACCCAACCAACTCATGATCTTACACAACCTCATCCACTGTCTTAGGTGAGCAAGGCTTCAGACCCAACACGGTTTAACACTGCTGCCGACGACTTCTCGTTAAAACTTGGAGAAACTTTCTCCGGCTCAGTGGTCCAGCGGTAAAGCGTTCTCGCGTGAGACTGAAGGTCCTGGGTTCCATTCTCGCGAGCGGAGCTCGTGGGCGCTCATAGCCTATAAGTCCCACACTAGGGCTTGACGGACTTCCAGTGCTTACAGGTTTTTAATGGTGGTCTAGCACTAAATGATTCACGGTTTCGATGAAACTCAACAGTCTCCACACCCTACTGTGGTAATAATAGTACAACAAGTGTCAAATTTTTTAAATATTTTTACTGTTTGAAAAAGTCCGGACAAGTATTTTGAACGAAACGCTGGAATTATATAAATTCCAATTCCTAAAATCACTTCAAATATGATTTTCAAAAATAATATCTTCTGTATATTCGGCACCTAATTTCTATCAAACGATCCATTCAATTATTTGTTACCATTTGTTTACTACTGTAGAATATTCTTTCTTAACCACGTTACTAAACTGTTCTGCTGCTTCATTCTGCTTCTTCTCTCCTCAAAAGTTCTAGTATTCGACCGGAAATAACACGTGGTGAAATAAGAAAATTATGGCCAGAATTTTTTGTTGATAAAAAACATTGTTTATCATTTCATGAATTTATACGCCATTTTCTTTATCGAAAATCAGAAGCTGCATATCCAAATGCTAAATTTGTACCTCCGCGCCTAGGTGATTCTGATTTGATGCCATGTTCAAATAAATTGAATGGTGTCACTTGTTTAATAAAAGATTCACTGCGTGCAAAAGTAAATGTTGGCTATATATTTTAATTGTTGACAAAATGTTTGTTATTTCATTTGTGTTACTGTTAAGTTGTTTCAGTAGTATATAATTATTTTCAAATACAGATATGAAATTAGATTGTGTACCTTCGAGATTTTATTTCATAACAGGATGAAAACTAGTGATCTATTGATATAGAATTGATGGAATATGGCTAGCTTTGGGATCAGTGACATGCGTTTCGTTGCAATCGTAGCTCGTCAACTGGACTTACCTGAATCCAAAGTCCGTGTTCACTCTGGAATTTTAGCCTAGTAGCATTTGCTTCAAATCCCCGTGTTATTCGTTTAGGTAATGACTTCAGACTGGATTTCATCATTAAATTTCAATCAAAATAGCAACAATGGGATCATAAAAACCATTGCAACATACGATTCAGATTTCATGCACACCGAACAATTGAGTGACTATATATGAACCCAGTAGCTGTAGGGATCTGAACACATTCTACAGTTGAATGGGGGTAAAGTATTTAGAAGTCTAATTTCCAGGCGCACTTTAGAAAATGGACATGAACTAGATATATATAGATCACTTAAAATAATTAACAAACAAAAAACGCCAATTTTACAGAGGCTATCACTATCGAACGTTTGCCACCTGACCTATGTATATATAGAAGGATATTGTGACTAGCCTTTTCTTGTTATGATAATTGAATGTTTATCTACTAACTTTTAATCTTTCGTCTCCTGATATTCAACTCTTACATAATCTTATCGTTGTCCACATATTTGTTTATTTTCTCATGCTACGCAACTGCTCAATCACTTATTAATTTAATTACCTTTGCTTAATCTCTCCTATTTTTAAATCTTGATTAAGTTTACGGCTACCTATCATACCTATTCTACTCTGTATTCACACTTTCCAACACATAAATACACGTCATTTTTAACTTTGTTTATTCATACACCTTCTATCCCTTAACTTCTTATCAATTTGATTTTGATTACGCTTCGTACATTTAAATTAACAATAATATACCTGAAATGTCTAGTGATATATGGCAACACAGAAAGTTACAATATATACTACTTAACGCTTAAGCATAATTTATTATAAAAAATCAGAATCAATAAGGCATATGGAAATGATTTACGTGTCAGACGAAAACTTAAAAATAGAAGAATATGAAAATTCAATAATCGAAGTCTTCTCAATTAAGCAATAAAAACATATGTATTAATCCTTTGTATGATAGTCTTTAAAGCTATACTTTCACATTGTTGCTCTTATTATATCATTAAGTACATGGATAATATTCCGTTATTATCGTTATGCCTGTTTTATGCACAAATTTGTCAATAGGATAAATTATACGAAATTTATTCAGAACTATCGTTAGCCTTCAATTTCCTACAAATTAACATAACCTTTTGGTGTAAATTTAATGAAAACTATTTATAGAATTAATAAGAATGGGATTTACCAAACAATGCTTACATCATGAATGCATATCATGATATTGATCAATTTTTACCTTAAAACTGTCCACTTAAACAAATCATTTTTTTCCACAAAAATATCTTCCATCGCCTAAAAAGAAATTCCTAATTCTGCTGAGAAAACATATTTTTTGATTTTTTTTAACCTGACAAATAAAATTTTTGTTGTCGATTAAAAATTATTGTTCTTGTTTTGATAAATTGAAACTCGAATAAAAGTTGAAAACTAGTATAGAATGTCAAAATATTCGAATTTCTATGTAGATTAGGTAACTTTTGGCTAAAATATTATATTTTTATTTGTGACTTGTCAGCCAGATTCACTTAAATCAATGTTGGTGTCCAAGTTGGTGCTCGATCTTAGTACCTTTCTCTGAAAACACTTAACGCGTTAGCCACTTAGCTACTGAATAATTTTCAATGAAAATGTCTGCAACACTTTTACTAACCGTTGAAATAATCCCATTGTTGGAAATAGGGAGTGAATTTCGATCAGTCTTAGCAAGCGTCTGTACATTCTGAGTCAATTAACTCGATATAATGAAAAAAGCTTTAAAATTTATAGCTAAATTTACTGTGTTTGACTCAGGGTATGTGCACCGACGCTGAGATACAGATACGTTCAGATGATAAGTCTCAGTCAAAGTGAAATAAGCGTCATAAATTCCACTCTTATCCACAATACAGCTATTTTAAATAACTTGTAACAAAATTGTCACATTGAAGTAGTTCTGAAGAGTATTGAACATTTACAGCAAAATACAACCAATCTTATGTTTCTGAATTCCCCTTTCTTTCGAATTTATTATCCAGTTTTTTTTCTCAGCTGAAAGATGAAACTTTTATTTTTGTCATTACTAATTTTATTGTCCTTAAACAATTCCTTTCCAATTTAGATAGATTTAATGTTTGATCGTTTATATAATGAATTTATTGAAATGGATCCTGAAGGAACTGGATTTATCACTGCTAAACAATTGAAGGATATATTAATAGAATTATGTTTACAAGTATCTGAAAGAGAAATCAATGATTTTATTGAAAAATTCGATATACATAAAAATGGAAAGTAAGTTTTATTCATCAGTTATTGAATGCTTTTTCTAGAAATTTGGACATTTGTTTTAACAAACAAATAATCAAGCTTACATGATGATGATGATGAGACAAGCCGAATTATAGAATCATTTCATGAAGTCACTGTCAGTTGATTAAGGGAATTATTAATTGTCCAAGGCTTGAATATTCATTATAATCGAAAAGGTAAGGCTCAGCGTGTCTATAGAAAAGAAGATAAGAAATAAACAGATTGATGTTAGAGAAGAGAAAAATGATTTTTGACGTGAATTTAAGACCATGGTACAAGAAAAGGTTATACAAGAAGAGTTGTGCATGTAGAGCTGGTTACAAAATTTATTTTCGTTGCTATTAGTAGATATATATGTAATGAAAATCAATTATCGATTCATCAATCAATAAGAATAAAAATATATTTGAATTCACTAAAATAGTGTTTTGAAAATAATTAAAACAAATGTATATTCCCTATGCATCCACATTTGAAACGTAACAATTATTTTGTTCATGTACATATGTGTATATATATTTCTTTTTGTAATTCAGAATATCATATCTCGCCTTATTACAACCTTTCATAAGAAATCGTTTGCTTAAATCGGATATATCACATAATAAACCAGTTATTGATAATTTAACAAACAAGATACTTGGTGTAGGAGAAGCGGATAAAATCAAAAAATCATCTTTATTACCAATATTAAATGAAATTCGACCAAAAATACCAGTAAGTTGTGTTTTTATTTAGTGAAATACAGAATCTTAATCTATTAGTTACAATAATTAAGATTTATTTGATTAAAAACTAGAATGAAGAAGACTATTTTTGAATTTTTTGGCAGGAAATTCAAAAATGAATAATGTTTGCCATGTACATATTTTCATGATCCCCAGAAAGTACATGTTAAAATACATCTGATGGGACTATGGTATAAGAATGATCTAATCAGAATCAAGAGTGCGGCTTCTAGACTTTGTGCAAATTTTAGGGATGGAGTTGCACAGTACCTTAGACTGATCAAAATTTGACATTGATACCGCTGGATTCCGACTCACGAGGTCTAGAAGTTAAGAGTTTGCACTCGAGACCGAAGGTCCCAGCTTTGATTTCGGCAAGCAGGGATCGTAGATGTGCACTGCGAAAGAATCCCATACTAGGATTTGACGGCCGTCCATTGCCTCTAGGTTTCTAGTGGCGGTCTAACATTGACTGGTTTATGATTTTAAAGTAACTCAACAATCTCTGCAACCCTTATAATGTAAACTAAGATATTTTTAAGTGTTTTATGAGTTTTTTTTTCAATGAATTTTCAAAACTAAATTGCTTGTTTTGTGACCATGAAAACTCAGAAGGAAGAATAAATCCCAAGTTTCTGGTCATTAGCTTCCAAAAATGTATGAAAATAGTCTATTGTCATTAAAACCATGTCTTTGATGATGGCTGTTTATTCTTCTCATATCTGCTTCCGATTCTCGGAGCAATGTGTTTTTTGGTCTTTTTTAAACAATGTTAACCGGAAAACGTCTTTTATTGTTAACAAGTATGTATTTTCTGATGTCTGAAGGCATTCGACTATAGACAAGTAAAATGATGGTAGAAGTTATTTAGAACATATTTATGAATTCCCAAACCAATACCATCAAGAAGTCAGTAGCGATCTCAAAATAGACCTACTGACCAATTTTTAAGAAAAACAATTCATTATGCCGCTTTTATTAAAAAATATGATTGAGAATTTTTATACTTTCCACTAGTTTTCACACTTTTGCAACATGCTTCTAGAACCTCAAAGTTGACCAAGGTCTTAAAAATCCTTTTGGTATTTTTTTCGGTATAAACTAACCTTTAAAGCAAAACTATTTCAATATTTTCTACCTGCATCCATTTGTGGTTCAAGAAACGATGAGAATGGGAAAATCAAACTATTTTGATTCAATTTTTTTTATTATTATTTTAGGTTTCTTGTTTGAATTGGAATAAAATGTGTCGATCAATGCAAAAAGCCGATAAAACAAGTTGTGGTCGTATAGATGCTTCAATATTTCGAGATCTCTATCAACAAGGTACTGGTGTTCGTTTAACAGATGAACAAGTCTATCAATTGTTGACAACACTTGATCCTGATATATCTGGTACTTTACCCTATAAACGTTTACTTGAAGATACAGAACAACCCATATTCAATCATCATGAAAGAACGCAATCGAATAAGTTTCAAAAAATAGAACAGAAATGTTCAACTATCGACAAATCTTGTGAAAAACAAAAAAGTACTTAGAATATAAATTAAAAGATTATATATGAGTATTTCGTAATATACTATTAATTGTCATACTAGTATTATTATTATTATCACTGGTGTGATGAATTAAAAAGTTGACTTTAAGTAAAACAAACCATTTTTGAAGCTGAAATACTTTATGAAAACTGACTATAAATTTCAACCATACGTCGTAAGCCAAATGTGATCGGCTAATCTATGCAATAACTCCTTCTGGAGTGATTCAACTGTTATATTCTTAAACAATATTAACTCCGTTGTCATTTGAAAAATAATTTAATTTACAATAAACTTTATTGTCTGATGAATTATTCTGATGAGAAAAGTAGTATAAATAACAATTTATTCCCATTGTTTTGATAGCTTCTGATTACAAGTAGGTTGATTTACAATTTAATTCCAGAATACTTCTTACTGGTAAGGATTTCCTTTTTAGCAAGTTTTCGTTTCTACAAGATGAACTTGTTAACTTCATGCCCAATTCTCTTTCTTAATTCAAACTTGGAATAGGAAATAACTCTAGAAGAAATTTAAACACAGTTAGCACTCTGATTGATTAAGCAAAACTTTCTTCATCGAGCAGATGATTGTCGAGAGTACAATATACATAAATAAGCTTAAAATAAATTTAATGAATTTTTTAACCACTTGTCAGGCCATCAAAAAACAGCTGTTCCAAATTGATAGGATCTGTGTTAGTAAACAGATTAATAATTATAACAATTTTAAATAATGAAGGAACTCATTGAATGAAATTCTCTATATGTCACTTTGTTTCTTAATGGAAAAAAGAGATTCATTTAATCTGTTCGCCTGGAAAAAGATTATTTCTCCTCTTGAATCCTTATCAAAACGTAAACAAATGTTAAAGAGTAACCACATTGTTCTTAGTTAAGGATTTTCGACTAAAGGTTCAGGGTTACAGTTTGCGTCATGGATAAAGGTTTAAGATTAAATTTAATGGCATCAGACTGATTTTTGTGCACTTTAAAATGCACCAACTAAGTCACTTATGATGGAGAAGCTTTAGAAGATGTAGAAACCTCCACATAACTGAGCAGCACTGTTGATAAGCCATATGGAACTGATGCAGATGTAAAGACACGGATTGAGAAAACTGTTGGAGGCGTTAGATCCCCAAAACTCGCTTGATAAAGGTCCTAATTTTGGATTGTATGTTCTAGCGCATGGGCTGATCAACTGACCTTGAGATTACATTACCCACCCGGAAAGTCCTTGACTGTTATTGGTTGATGCATTTTTTTAGTATGCTATTTTTTCGGCTCTCCCAAGGAAGTTTCTATCATTTATAAATAAACTCGGTTTGTGTGCTTTACAACCTCGATGTTCTGGATGCTTGTAAAATACACTTCTTCCTCTGTTTAATGGGGCCTTGGGACGCTCGGATTAAAATAGCCTATCGTGTCACTGGATCATTTGTCTTCACTCTTGTTTACTGACTTAGGTGAACTCATAATAGTTTCAAGCATATCAACTGACGAGCATAACAAAAACAAGGATAGTAGTTCTACAACTGAGGAACATATAGCACTCAAAACAACTACTGACACACACCATAGTAAGAATTTTCAGTACACATGTCAAGACAGTTCTATTGTATGGAGAGAAAAGTTGGAGAACTACAAAAGTAATCATCCAGAGGATTTAGGTGTTTATTAGCTGTTGTCTACACAAGATACTGCAGATCTGTTGGCCAGACACCATCACCAAAAACCTAGTGTGGGATAGAAGAAACCGGATTCTAGATGAGGACTAAACTAGGATAAAGTGATGAAGGTGGATGGGACATACACTGCGGAAATCACCCAAAATGCATCGCTAGGCCTTTGAGTGCTTTAGGACAACGGGAAAGAGAAAGACCAAAGAACACATTACACCGAGAATTAGAGACAGATATCAAAAGAATAAATAGCATCTGGGTAGAACTGGATAGAAGAGTCAAGGAGGCAGTAGGTTGGAGAATGCTAGTGGGCGGTCGATGCTCAATTAGGAGTAACAAGCGCTAGTAAGTAATAAAATTCATAGAGAAAGAACCATACATTTTACTCATTTTTACTCTGTGATTAAAACTAATCTTGGGTTATTGTTTTCTTTCTTCTGAACAAGAAACTTAGGTCATTGTACTACTCGTTTTATGTGACATAAAATAAAAGTCATTCATATCTAAAATTTGCTAAAAAATCTCATATGTTATTTTCTTAATTCTAGTTGACCCATCCTTATGCAATTGATTGTAGTTTGCCACAAAAATGTGTTCAAATAACAAGTTGTAATCGCTTGTGATGCCTTCTTAAAGACAATATGCTCTGAATCATGCAAGAAATTCGTGAAGTTTAATTATTCCCATATGCTTGTTCTCTTTAATTCTTGACCGATTTTGAAACCGCAATCTTTACATTTCTCAATCCATAAAATTGATATTGCTTTATTTTAAATATTTAAAATTGTCTTCACTGTTTCGGTTTTCGAATCTAATATAAGTTGAAATGTAACATATCTTCTACTTAAATAATGTTCGCATAACTTCTTCAGAGTGGTACGTCTCAAAGTCCTAGTGAGAAGTAGTAACCGGTGGTTCCCAGTTATGTTGTATATGGAGTAGTCATCCACTGATGACATTGAAAGATGATCGTGTTACATAAAGAGTTGACTGAAGTTAAACACAAAAATCATTGGATGTCGACTCACCGCGAGATCCAAGGGTGTTAGATTCAACTCTGGGTGGGGTAGTGGATGCACAATGCTGAGTCGCACACTAAGAAAAAATATCTACCCAGCTTAACAACATTTCCAACAGTTGCCTGACTGAATTTCGTCGAAATGAAATCCTTCCTACACCCACACATACCTCTCTTCTCTCCACAAATAGCTCTAATCACATTCCCTTATCTCACTGCACCGCTAATGTAAACGAAAAGAGTTCACGAAACGTCATTCCTGGTCTCTTGAAACCTAGTTCAAGACTAAATGTTGGAGCTTTTAATGTACGGACACTGTGTCGAATAGGGCAACAGGCTTCCTTAGATAGGATTTTAGAATCTCGTGCCATCGATGTATGCTGCGTCTCTTTAAACGCGCACACAGGATCCGAGTAAAATCATTAATTTGATTTCACCATGACAAAATAATGGTCCACATCGATTTACTCTTTGTGTATCTGGAAGCCCTGATGCTGCTTCCCGGCGTCTCGCTGGTGTAGGTATAGCATTGAGTCGTAAGGCAGAACAATCTCTCCTTGACTGGATCCCTGTAGATAGTCGCTTGTGCGCCGTCCGACTGAACGGGACAGTAAGTATTCGGAAAGATAGGGACACCCGTCGTTGCCTCTTCATCGTATCTGCCTATGCCCCCACTGACTGCAGTTCAGACGAGGTAAACAATGAGTTTTAATGAAAGCTTTTAGAACTCCTCCAAAAAGTTAGGCGCTCTGATATAGTAATAATGGCTGGTGACTTTAATGCTCAAGTAGGTAGACTAGGTGAAAAGGAAAGACACCAGGGTGGGCCTTATGGTGTCGCAGCTCAGAGAACTGACAATGGAGACCGTCTGTTGCAAGTATGCTCAGATAACCACCTATTTCTAGCAAACATTGACTTTAGCCATAAGGAAGTACATCTTGTGACCTGGAGACCCCCGAAGTCGTCTCAATGTTGGACCCAACTAGATCACATCGCCATCAGCCACCGATGGAGGGGTTCGATAGAGGACTGTCGCTCGTTCTGGGGCACATGTTTAGATTCAGATCATGCTCTAGTGCAAGGGCGTATTTGTTTGAAGCTTACCGGGCGTAGGGAAGACTCTGCAAGGAAACCTATCAGGGTCCTACTTAATGAAAGCAGAGCTAAGAATATATTTCAGGAAAAACTAGAAAAACAGTTTGACGACCATGTAGGTAATTTCCATCCTGTGGCAGCTTGGAATGATATAAAGAAAGCTGTGGAAACAGCAGCGATATCTGCTAGCAAGTTAAACCATGAGGCTTGGAAGAAGCCGTGGAAATCAGTAGCATCCACCTAACCGATAGACGCTCATAAACTCATCCTGTCTGGCTCTGAGTACTATGAGTAGCGGAGTCAGCGCAGGCTCATGAAAAGCCTCCGCAATTATCGCGAGCAATGGTGTATAGAGAAAGCAAGAGCAATGGAAAAGGCAGCGGCGACAGGCAAAAGTAAACGGTTGGTCCTCCTTATCAAGGAAACCGGTATTGGGAATCCGAATGTGAGTGAGGCAATCTGAGAAAAGGATGGTCTTATTATCCATTCTCAATCTAGGAGACTGTACTGATGGGCAGAACACTTTAGGGATCAGTTCAACTGGCCACGAGTCACTCTTCGGTTACCCACGATCTCCAGTCATCCTGAATGGCAAATCGACGTAAGTCCCTCGACTCTTTATGAAGTTGAGAAAGCGTTAGGAAATCTGAAGCAAGGGCGAGCTGCAGGTCCTGGTAGACTGACCGCTGAGATATTTAAGGATGGTGGTCCAGTTTCAGCAGCTAGGTTGACTGAGATCTTAGGTAGAATCTGGGAACTGGACGTAATCCCATCCGACTGGACTCAATCACTGATTGTCCCAATTTATAATAAAGGACAAAAGTCTTCTTGTGACAATCACAGGGGAATAAGTCTGTAGTGGAACGCTTGTACGAAGAAAATACGATTTGTGAAAAATAAACATTATTGTGCATCCTTTGTTTAACTGTACCAAAAACACTTCTACGACTTCTTGCGCGCAACGTTCTCTTCGCGTTGCTGCCATCTTTATCTACTTGCTGCTCCCCATGTAATGCCAACATTCTCCTTCAATAAAACCTTGGAATATAGATTTATTTTGCTTTTAATCATGACGGGTTATCATGGAACATTTAGTGGTGAGCATAGTCAATCTGGTCTCACGTCTCGCTCACAACAAGTCTAACTAACATAGTTTCTAAATTGCTAGCCTCGATTATACTTAGACGCCTTACTAGTGATCGTGAACAGCAGACTAGAGAAAACCAGACTGGTCTTCGTCCAGGACGTGGTTGTGTAGACCACATCTTCACACTACGACATGTCCTGGAACACGGACACACATTTAGACGTCCTACAATAGTTGTGTTCCTGGACCTCAAGGCGGCATTCGACTCAATGGATCGTGAGGCTCTGTGTCAGTGTCTGTCAGTGAAAGGTGCACCAAAGAAGTACATAAACCTTATACAAGCTCTCTACTCGAACACCACTGGTCGAGTGAAAGCTTATGGCGAACTGTCATCTGAATTCTCTACTTCAAGTGGTGTCCGTCAGGGATGTCCACTCGCTCCATTCTTGTTTAACTTTGTAAAAGATATGCTTTTAGAGGTAACATTATCTTTGTCTGACTATTCAGGAGTGGACCTGTTACCAGGAGACACGCTTGCTGACTTACAGTATGTTGATGACATCGTTATATTTGGTGAAGACACTGACAAAATGCAGTCTTCTGACTACCCTAATCAACAATTCATGCATGTTCGGGATACGATTCTCCCCGTCGAAATGCAAAGTGTTGCTTCAAGGTTGACTTGTAACGGCACCTGAACTATCGATAGGGAGTGAAGTAGTCGAGGTGTCGACCATTTCACTTATTTCGGGAGTCTCATGAGTGCTGACGGTCTGGTGACTGACGAAATCTCAGCACGGATACAGAAGGTTCGATTGGATTTTGCCAACTTGCGTCATTTATGGCGTAGGTGAGATATCCGTTTGCTAACCAATAGCCGAGTGTACTGTTCAGCAGTTCGCGCTGTCCTACTATACTGATGGGGAGCATGACCTGTGATTGTAAAGGACATTCGTGGATTCCTTGTATTCGATCATCGATGTCTGCGAAGGATTGCTCGTATATTCTGGGACAACGGATTGATAAATGCTTCGTTAGGAAACGAATACTAGGTAGGGAAGGCAAATCAATGTATGGAGTAGTGAAACTTTATCAGTTGAGATGGTTGGCACATGTGTTGCGTATGCCTAACCGTCGACTGCCTCGATAATCTATGTTTTGCGGTGTTGGAGTCGGTTGCAAGGAACCTAGAGGCGGCCAGACCAAAACATGGCAGAAATCGATGAAGTCACTGACAGGTGGACTGAGTCATGTCGGTAGTTGTCAACTACCTGGTTGGGGTCCGCGAGATGATAATCGATGGTTAGAAACCCTGAATTATTTGGCTCAAAACCGTTCGCAATGGCGCCGGTGCATATATTCTCTGTTCTCTCAAATACTAATCTTCTGGATTCTTCAAGACCTCTAGTTTTTTTTCTTTCTAAACTTATCTCATACTTCTTGAATAATAGCTTCTAATCCTAACCTCTCCGATTACTTCTAATACCTTAACTAGCTCTACTAATATTGGATTTGAATGGACAATTATATCTCTGCGCTGATTTGGTATGGCAACATGAACTGATGTACTTACGTGCGAAGTTCTACGTTGCATATGACTGACTGAATTTGGTCTGCGATACAAGTTATAAGGAAATTATTGAGTTAGTTTTCGTTATGGACGAGCTTCCGTTAATGTACCACTGGAAACCAGGGAGGCACTTGATGGGTGTTTTGAATTAAGTTATAAATCCTCTGAAGTGGAAATACACGAAATTACCAGGAATAGAATCTAAGACTTTCAAGTGTTTCGGTGACAGTATTATCTTGAGATCAATTAGTCTAAATTCAATAGTCTCTACATATCAAAGGAAGGCTGTAATAAACTTTATGATGCTGTTCGTCCGGCTTTCCAGTGCTTCTTTAGCTTCACTTTTATCTTGATCACCACCAGCTGGCGGTCTGACGATATATCAGCTCCTCTCTTTGTTATAACGTTTTCCGTGGACCTCCGGAACTTCCATTAATGAAAATGTGGTCGATCTAGTTCACAGTAGTGGGTCGAAGAAACCCATGAATCTTTCCGTATGCATTTGCGCGAGAATAAGGCGCCACTTATAACCATTTTGTCGAAGTCATATAGATTTGAAAATCTCTCCCAGTCTATATCGTCCCACGATATTTCCATACCCAGCACTGTCTTTTCCACTGTTTTTTCCTTACCTGAGTATTTCTCTACAATCGACTGCAGCCTCTAATAAACCTGGACTTCATCGTCTTCGTTGCTACTATTGATGTATGCAAAGCAGTGGATAGTATTCATTATAATCTCTTCTTTCTTGTTAGGGTCGTTCTGATTAGCCTTTATCCACGATACTTCAATTCTACACACTCTCCTTTGAAGAGTATCAATGTGAGTTCTTGTGTATGTGGCGTGCTTCCATAATCATGACGAGAGTATGACATCTCTCTAGAAGCTAATATTTCCTGTCAAGTTTGTGTAAAATAGATTTTCCTGATTTCAAGCACTTCCAGGTGTCATCATTACATTTCTAAAACGTCCGATCGCTCATGTTGTACAGACATCCCGTATGCATATGTTAATTGTTTCTCTAGTTGACAGAAGAGACATCGGGGTCGTGACTTTCGAAGGGATTCAGCTTTTATCATGCAGCTTCATAACTCCTATATATGAAGACCCTTCAGCTCGAATGACAGCTTAAATGGCTGGAATGAAATTTTATGGTCAGCGTTATTTTAGTAAGGTTGTTTTCTACAATATGGGGTTGCTAAGCTCATGTTCAACTCACTTGCTTATTCATGCTAGGAACCAGCAGTAACCCTAGAAGAGTTCCGGGTGGTAATTAGTGAGACTAACTAAATCCTAAAACATGGCAAAAGCACACTTGTATAACTATTGTAGACGAAGATTCTGTATTTTCTGGTTTTAGGGCCGCCTTCAGTCTGAAAGATGATATCAGTATTTAGGAAGGGTGTAAGTAAGAATATTAACACAGACAATTCCATACAAAAATACCCTAGGAAGAATGAAAGTATACAACCAACTATTGGACTATTACGGCTTCTTTGATAGTGTCCACTATATCAAAATTTCAGCCGCCATTCACAAGCTGTGATAACTGTGAGGACTCCAACCAGGTAGTCTGGAGCTACTAAGACGGTTTAATAGTCTAACTGTCAGCGACTTAGTGGACAGATGGGACGTTTTAGTTTGGCCTCCCGTAGCTTTCTTCCTTCCTACTCATACACACGAGATGAACTTTGTCCATTGAGGAAGATGCTAATTGAATATACTTAATACACATCCGGATCACTACAAACGATGTCGCATACTTAGGAAGTGACAGGGCTAGTTCTCAATAAACACGTCCGTTGGTTGGTAGATGGACATTTCGTTTATGCTACAAGTTTCTTAAAGGCATCTTGGCCTTTTAAACCCGTGCCAAGATTACGTCAGACTCTATTCCATTAGGGCTGATAAGATTTTGAAGTTGGTTGAAGCGATCGATGCAGTCTGTATCGTTACTTTAGGTGTTGGTCCAGACCAGTCCCGAAGCAACATTGTTTTAAGCATCGTCAAATCCCTGTTAATTTTGAAACTCTAATCATCCACTTAAATATTAGGTTGCTAATCATCCATACACATGTTATATGACTAAAAACACTAAGTCAACTAATCTATGAATTAAGTGATTGTGCACACGACCGAAGTCCTAGTGTGGTGCTGTGGTGCGAACTACTTATAAGTAGTATATAACGTGAGTGTCAACGTAAAGTCTGGTAGCATAATATGGGGGGAAGATCAAGACAGGAAGACTTAGAAACAATGGAATTTGTATGAAACGCATGAATAGTGACAATGGATTGATGTTTGGCAACAGAAACAGTCCAGTTCCACAGGATGAACTGATCTTTTGCAAATGAACGATTTACGATATAGTTTTCCAATTTTACTGAGTAACTCTGTAATTTTCGCTAAATACAATTTGATTGTCCTCACCTGTGTGCTTCTTCACTACACTAGGTTCGACTCTCAATTGCAGAGTTGTAGATGAACACTGCTGACGTCCCATACTAGAGTGGAACGACCATTAAAGGTTATCTAGATTAAATAAGCTTTGATGTCAATTAAATTCAACAATCTCCGCAACCCATACCAACAATAAACCAATTAACCTCGAGACGAAATAACTACGTTCCTTCATTATCTCATTTTGAATTAAAAGAAAAATCAGAAATATCTATATTACCAAAATTAAAAAAAGTAGCGCAATTTAAATATACAAAATAATTGGCTCAAAAAATCGACAGTCCTTTCATTAGTTTGTTTTTGTTCGATACTGAAAAAATACTAATTTAATCAAATCTCATGCTCCAACAGGAAGAATTTCACTTTTTCCAACGCTTTATGCCGATGTGATATAGAATTTTTGATAGATTTGTCCATTTCAGCATAAGTTTGTTCAAAATTATCCGGTTGAAATATGCAATCCCATCCAAAATCACGTGGTCCACGAGGAGAGACAATACAACCTGGAGTGATACCAGCAAACAGTTGCACCGGTTTTTCAAGGCTATCACAATAGGCAAAAGTGCATACAGCCTCTGCACGATAATCATTGAAGTCAGTCAACATACGAGGTAGTCCTAAAAAAAGAACATTAAAAGTAATAGAAATAAGAAGGCAAATCAAGAACATGAGCTGGAAATTAAACTCGTAATATGCCCGCGGAAAAAAGTAATTAAGGCTATCATGTATAACGACAGTTACCAAAGAAGCAGGCTGGAAGAAATTTGACGGTCACTAACCTAAAAGGTGACATAAACCTGTGAAGTCATCAAGTGTTGGTCTGAACCATGTAGTAATATTCAAACAGTCTAATTAGAATATGCAATATTCAAACAGTCTAATTAGAATATGCACAGCGATTTTAATCTATTACTGGCAACTTAAAGAAATATATGACCCAAGATTATGTGCAGTGCAGTAGACCCATTTATTTTCTTAACCCCTCTAAATTTTGAGTTTTACTATGAGAAGTTTCTTATAAGGCTGGCTTCAGCAACCAAACCTTTAGCCGTTTGGTTACAAATCTAAAACTGAATTTACCTGTTTAATTCTAGATTATTGGAGCGCCACAAACCTTTACGTAATAAATGAGCGTCATTATTAGTATTGGTAATTTAAGAACGATGAGCAACTCTTTATGTATCTATGTACTTACTAACGTCAGATCATGCAACGTGTTTTACTTGGCGGGTCACGAGCGATATTGTTTTTAAAATGGAGCTGTTGCAAATGGTAAGTGAATGTACATTGTGACCGAAACATTGGTCAGCATTTAAATAAACAGCAAAAATACGTATGAAGACTCCGACCAAACGACTTCAGAATTAAAAATTTTGTGTGGGAAAACTTATTTGCGATAGACTAAAATAATTACGTAACTTATTAAGGACAAATTGGGTTACTTGGTTTTGAGAACTATTGAAACTGAAGTGAAAGATGTGACATTCCAATCTGGAACCTAAAACTCGAAGCTTCTTAACCATAAGTGTATACAAATGTAAAAGATTTCTTACATTATCATGTTTGAATGTACGGAACAATTGTAAACAATATGTGGATTTTATTGTATGAACAAACACATCTATATCAGACATCAAACTCATATGACTGGATAGTTTATCTAACAGTTCAAGTTTAAATATTTTAGAAACAATGAATTGTTTCAAGAATGTATACAAACATTATTCCATATCTGGGTGAAGTCAGATCTAAACAAGTTTTAAGGCTTTTTAACGATTTGCCATTAAATTCTAACAAAACAAATTCCGACGGTAAATAACTTTAAAATAAATTGAGTGAAACATTACTACCTAAAGAAGTTAAAATGAAGATGGGATGTAATATCAGCATACTACTTAGCCATCTACTTAACCCATCGGTGACTATCGTCTCGCGGATCCCAACCAGGTACCCTACATCTACCAACATGACTCAGTCCACCTGTCAGTGACTTCATCGATTTCTGCCATGTTTTGGTCTGGCCGCCTCTAGGTTCCTTGCAACCGACTCCAACACCGCAAAACATAGATTATCGAGGCAGTCGACGGTTAGGCATACGCAACACATGTGCCAACCATCTCAACTGATAAAGTTTCACTACTCCATACATTGATTTGCCTTCCCTACCTAGTACTCGTTTCCTAACGAAGCATTTCCCGACCGAAGCTGCTACCTTGACGTGGTGGTCGGGCTTGCCTATCGTGATGACCCAACCGAGCTATACTGGATGGAACACGTGTTCCTGCAGGTCCTACCATGCCAGGCAGGTCGATTGGAGAACGATGAGACTAAAAGCAGCTACTCAAGGTCTGAGGGCGAAGTCGTACTGCTGACTGCAGAGGGGTGTGACAGCAGTAAGGTGTTTCCCTCGGACAACCAGCATCTGCAGCGATGCTGCCTTCTCACAAGGAAGGAAGGGTTAGAAAAGGTCGGCCCTAAAAATGTCACACCTCCCCTACCTCACGGATTTCCGTCTCCTTGGGTAAGGGTGCCCACTAAGGGCCTTTAAGAACGGAGCTAATACTCTAAATACCTCTCATGAAAATTCCGTGCGTGACCGGCCTCAAGCAGTTGTCCCTTGGACTCTGCGGTCACGCACCAACACTAATCCATCTTCCTTTTCAGGTTCGTCAAGAAACAACCTTCCACGGTGTGGGCAGCCGGGAAGTGATAACCGCCCTCATACCCGCAACAGCACACGAGACAAAATTGTTCAAAATCAAATCCTTCCTACACCCCCTAATACCTCTCTTATCTCTACGACTAACTCTTCTCACATTCATTTATTACAGTGCACAGCTAATGTAAACGATGCGAGTTCACGAAACGTCGTTCCTGGTCTCCTTAAACCCCGTTCCAAACTACATGTTGGAGCATTCAATGTACGGACATTGTGTCAAATAGGGCAACAGGCGTCATTAGCTAGGACTTTAGAATCTCGTTCCATCGATGTATGCTGCGTCTCGGAAACGCGCATACAGGATCCGAGTAGCATCACTCATTTGACCTCACCATGTCAAGATAAAGAAGCAGCTCGATTTACCCTTCGTGTATCCGGTAGCCCTGATGCTGCTTCTAGGGGCCTCGCCGGTGTAGGTATAGCATTGAGTCGTAGGGCAGAACAATCTCTCCTTGACTGGATCCCTGTAGATAGTCGCTTGTGCGCCGTCCGACTGAACGGGACAGTAAGGACTCGGAAAGATAGGGACGCTCGCCGTTGCCTCTTCGTCATATCAGCCTACGCCCCCACTGACTGCAGCCCAGATGATGTAAAAGATGAGTTTTACAGAAAGCTTTCGGACCTCCTCCAAAAAGTTAAGCGCTCTGATATAGTTATAATGGCTGGTGACTTCAATGCACAAGTAGGTAGACTAAGTGAAAATGAAAGACACCTAGGTGGATGTTACGGTCTCGCGGCTCAAAGAACAGACAATGGCGACCGTCTGTTGCAACTGTGCTCAGATAACCAACTATTTCTAGCAAACACTAATTTTAAGCATAAGGAAAAACACCTTTTGACCTGGCGACCCCCGAAGTCGTCTCAACGTTGGACACAACTAGATCATATCGCCATCAGCCACCGATGGAGGGGTTCGATAGAGGACTGTCGCTCGTTCTGGGGCACATGTTTAGATTCAGATCATGCCCTAGTGCGAGCACGTATTTGTTTGAGGCTTGCTGGACGTAGGAAAGACACAGTAAGGAAGCCTCTTAGGGCTCTACTTGATGATAATCAAGCTAAGAAAATATTTCAGGAGGAACTAGAAATACAGTTAGGCGGCCATGCAAGTGATTCCCATCATGAAGCAGGTTGGAATCATATCAAGAAGGCTGTGGAAACAGCAATGGTATCTGCTAGCAAGGTAAACCACAAGGCTAAGATGAAGCCGTGGATATCAGTCGCATCCACCGAACTGATGGATGCTCGAAAACGCATCCCACCTGACTCTGAACATGATGAAGAGCGTAGTCAGCTTAGGCGCAGACTTATAAAAAGCCTACGTAACGACCGTGAACAGTGGTGGGTGGCGAAAGCAAAAGCGATGGAAAAGGCAGCGGCGATAGGCAACACTAGACAACTTTTCCGCCTTATCAAAGAAACCGGTATTAGGAACCCGAATGTAAGTGAGACTATCTCGGAAAAGGATGGTCTTATTATCCATTCTCAATCTAGGAGGCTGGACCGATGGGCAGAACACTTTAGGGATCAGTTCAACTGGCCTTCAGCCACTCTTCGGTTGCCCACGATCTCCAGTCATCCTGAATGGCAAATCGATTTAAGTCCTCCCAGTTTACATGAAGTTGAGAAAGCTATAGGAAATCTAAAGGGAGGTAGAGCGGCAGGTCCCGACAGGCTTACCCCTGAGATGTTTAAGTATGGTGGTCCAATTTTAACGGTTAAACTGACCGAGATCCTAGGTAGAATCTGGGAAATGGACGTAATCCCATCTGACTGGTCTCAGTCGCTAATTGTCCCAATCTACAAGAAAGGACAGAAGTCTTCTTGTGACAATCACAGGGGAATAAGTTTAACTAATATAGTTTCTAAATTGTTAGCCTCGATTATACTTAGACGTCTAACTAGAGCTCGCGAAGAGCAGACTCGAGAAAACCAGGCTGGTTTTCGACCTGGACGTGGTTGTATAGACCACATCTTCACACTACGACAGGTCCTGGAACACAGACACACATTTAGACGTCCGACGTTAGTCGTGTTCCTGGACCTTAAGGCGGCATTCGACTCAGTGGATCGTGAGGTTCTGTGGCAGTGTCTGTCATTGAAAGGTGTACCAAAGAAGTACATTAACCTTATACAAGCACTCTACTCGAACACCACTGGTCGGGTGAGAGCATATGGCGAACTGTCATCTGAATTCTCTACATCAAGTGGTGTCCGTCAGGGCTGTCCACTCTCTCCATTCTTGTTCAACTTTGTCGTAGACATCCTCTTAGAGTTAACATTAAGCTCGTCAGATTTTTCAGGGGTTGACCTTCTACCAGGAAAGTCGCTTACTGATCTAGAATATGCCGATGACATAGTTCTATTCGGTGAAGACGCTGACAAAATGCAGAGTCTTCTGACTACCATAAGCAACAATGCGAGCATGTTCGGGATGCGGTTTTCCCCCTCGAAATGCAAAATGTTGCTTCAAGACTGGGTTGCTTCGGCACCTGAACTAGTGATAGGGAGTGAAGTAGTCGAGCGTGTAGATCACTTCACTTATCTGGGGAGTCTCATCAGTGCTGACGGTCTGGTGACTGACGAAATCTCAGCTCGGATACAGAAAGCTCGATTGGCTTTTGCCAACCTGCGTCACTTATGGCGTAGGCGTGATATCCGTTCGCTAACCAAAGGGCGGGTGTACTGCGCAGCAGTTCGTTCCGTTCTCTTATATGGCTGTGAAACATGGCCGTTAAGAGTAGAAGATGTTCGTAGGTTACTAGTATTCGATCATAGATGTTTAAGAAGCATTGCTCGTATATCGTGGGACAGCCGAGTAAGCAATGCTGTCGTTAGGAAACGAGTACTAGGTAAGGATGGCAGATCAATCGATGAAGTGGTGAAACTTCATCAGTTGAGGTGGTTGGGACATGTGTTACGTATGCCTAACCACCGACTGCCTCGACGAGCTATGGTTTGTGGTGTAGGTGTAGGTTGGAAGAAAGCTAGGTGCGGCCAGACCAAAACATGGCACAAATCCATGAAGTCACTGACAAGTGGACTGAGTCATGTTGGTAGATGTAGACTACCTGGTTGGGGTCCGCGAGACGAAAGTGATCAATGGTTAGAGACCTTGAACGACATGGCTCAAAATCGTTTGCAATGGCGCAGGTGCATCCACTCTTTGAGCTCTCTCAAATCCTAATCTTCTGGATTAGCCAGCACCTCTACCTTTGTCTTTCTGACCTTATCTCACTGAATTATATTTTTTGAATAATATCTTAAACCCTAGTCTTCTTTATTATAACATTAATACCTCTACCATCTTTATCACTATGGGATTTGATTTGACATTTGCGTCTCTGTGCTAATAATGTGGTATGGCAACATGAACTTATGTACATACGTACGAAGTTCTACGTTGCAACTGACTGACTGACTGAACGAAGCATTTATCAATCCGTTGTCCCAGAATATACGAGCAATCCTTCGCAGACATCGATGATCGAATACAAGGAATCCACGAATGTCCTTTACAATCACAGGTCATGCTCCCCATCAGTATAGTAGGACAGCGCGAACTGCTGAACAGTACACTCGGCTATTGGTTAGCAAACGGATATCTCACCTACGCCATAAATGACGCAAGTTGGCAAAATCCAATCGAACCTTCTGTATCCGTGCTGAGATTTCGTCAGTCACCAGACCGTCAGCACTCATGAGACTCCCGAAATAAGTGAAATGGTCGACACCTCGACTACTTCACTCCCTATCGATAGTTCAGGTGCCGTTACAAGCCAACCTTGAAGCAACACTTTGCATTTCGACGGGGAGAATCGTATCCCGAACATGCATGAATTGTTGATTAGGGTAGTCAGAAGACTGCATTTTGTCAGTGTCTTCACCAAATATAACGATGTCATCAACATACTGTAAGTCAGCAAGCGTGTCTCCTGGTAACAGGTTCACTCCTGAATAGTCAGACAAAGATGTTACCTCTAAAAGCATATCTTTTACAAAGTTAAACAAGAATGGAGCGAGTGGACATCCCTGACGGACACCACTTGAAGTAGAGAATTCAGATGACAGTTCGCCATAAGCTTTCACTCGACCAGTGGTGTTCGAGTAGAGAGCTTGTATAAGGTTTATGTAATCTGTACTCGTTAAATAAGTCAAATATTTGAACAAAGTTTTCTTGGTCTCATAACAAAAGAGTATTTTAGGAGCTACAAAAATAATGAACAATAAATCACCGCAATATAAAAATGCAGTATATAGCGTATACAATCATCTACAAAAGAAAAACAGACAAATACCTTCAGGACCAACCGCCTTTACAAACCATTTAATAAAAGGTCCAGGCATTCCATTCAATGCTTTAAAACAAAGTGCCGTATCTTCAATTAGAACGGGTCCATTGATGATATTAAAAGCAGCTATACATTTTTGTCTACTCACTTCCTCAATACTACCTTGAACTTCAGGTAAATCTAGATCAACAGTTTTTATCTATATAGAATGACGATCCTATAGTAATATTAAATATGATAAGATACTTTTCCAACGAATTCCTCGCCAATAATTTTGAGGAATTCAGTTAATTTGTTTGGGTTACCAGTTACAAAGGTTAATTGACGTGACATAAGTCTAAAAGAACAATATAATATAAAATAGATAGATTGATGCTTGATATATAGGTTGATGAGTTATTAAAAGTACGATTCTAAGACTACGAAAAGTCGAATTACTAAAATTGAACCTTAATATAGTTTTCATTTCTGATAATTCCATTATCAAACAGGATTATTTGTATTGTAGTAGTAAGAGATTTAAATTGTCAGTTCTAAAATCAAACCAGATGATTTGCTTTGACAGAAATTTAAAGATGACTTGTGATAGCATTTACAATTCTACTAAGTGAGCATTAGACGAAAAAAAGCAGTAGATTATCAAGTAGTGAGACATTAAATGAGTAAAGATAACTCGTAACTCGTAAAGGATTGAAAGTGACCTCACTTCATCAAGATAGCTTCCCTTTATTGATGAAGAGAAATTTTTTCTGGTAATTCGCAGGCTGAAAACTATAACTTGGACGAATAAATTTTATTCTAGTGATCAGCGTCTTAACGAAGAGCTAGCATAAGCCATCTAGTTTTTCGCGCTCACATTAATAGTCTGACGGAATGAGTATAATCTCTAGGTTGCTGTAGTCCTGGCACACTAAGTGAGGTTAAGATTTAAAACATCCTAAATAGAATATAACCGAAACCAAGAGGCTTTACTTCACCTGATTTACCTAGTTGTTAGAATTTGATCAAGAATAAATATAAAGTAAGATGTGGAGCTTCCTTTTTTCGATAGTGAAGTAGTGATTGAATAGCAAACTGCTCAACTGAACAAAAGTGTATTTGAATGCACATTCACATCAGCTTGAATCTTTGAAATTAGTCTTTATTACAAACCAGTGTCTTAAATTTCAGTCGCAATTGCATATGAGGTGTAAAATTTATTTGATTTTTCATATTGAAACAAAAAGCGTTGGAGAAATGTGTGTACACTTGTGAAGCACACGAGAAGTGGCGCAACCTTTTGGTGACAATAAATCTACGTTTGCATGCATTTTTACGAAAGTTTTCCAGGCTTGAGATTTGCACGGGTTTGGGTTTCAACCGAAAATTTTCATAAAATATTTCAAGAGCTGGGATGTTTTCCGAAATTTACCAACAAACGACCCAGAAATAATAACTTGTGGACCAATCAAGCATACGCTCATTTACTTAGAAGGTATTGTTCGCCTGCATAATGACAAGAAACATAATCCATGACTAGGTCTACAAGGACTAACCATGCTAGATTTCGACAGTTTTTTCGTCTCTAAATCTTTTATTCCATTTTTCCAGGGACACAGAGGTGTTATAAGCTAAACCTTAATTTAATCATGAAATTAAATCGTGTAACCATAGTCAAGCATTGTCGAGAATCTTATACTGAGTTATATACGAGTAGATTCGAACAGTAAATAGTATCTACGGATGGCAAAACAATGATTGACTGACGAGGCAATCAAGTTTTAGAAAGTTTTTGTTGCATCACGACACTCATTAATCTACATGCATAAAAGGTAACAGTTTGTGGTGTGAAGCCCGGTACAAATTTAAAATCTAAAATTTTTACTGTAACTAGTAGTCTTTATTATTTGCATTGACTTAGAACCTTATTATCACCATATTAGGTGTTTGAAGGTTGTTGTGGTTATTTTCGAAATCTTTTTCGCGAGCTAGTATACACCAACTGATTTCTTTGCCTTCGATTCTTGTTCTTTTGGTACGGTTCCAGATATTTGGTAGTGTCAAATGAATGAGGGTCTAGCCACTCGATTGTCTAATTCTAGTCAGTTGGCAGTTGCTTGTGAGTCTGTGTTCCGTGATTTCAATGAATACGTTTGTTTCAGGGCGGAAACGTTTCTGGATACCAGCGGCTATCACGTTACCAGACCGGAGATCAGTTAGTTGCAATGTGGAGAATAACAAGGGGAAAATTCTAATGCTAATGACATTTCAGAACCAAGTAAATAAATGGATAATAAGGTTCATCAATTGGTAGTGAAGACTGTGAGAGAGGACCGAAGTGTAAGCAGGGGAGAGAAAACAGAGATAATAGTCAAGATAGATTAAGTTAGTGATCTGAGGAGATGCCAATAATAACAACAAGCGAGTCTCAAGACATGCATTAGGCACAGCTTCTCCACGAGGGCGATTATAATCCGTATGTGAGTACGTGTTTATCAAGTCTCTTCTTAAAGCTGTCCCCTGGGGTGGCTGTGGTCACTTCGACTGGGAGAGAATTCCAAGTTGCAGCGACTCTTAATGAGAAAACGTGTTCATGAACCTGAGTAATCTCTCTTTGATGCGCAATTTTTCGAGGATTGTCTCGAGGGGACTGGTGGTGATGCATCGGTAAGATGCTCAGGTTAGGATGGTTTGGAGTACTTAATATGTTATACTCAATTATCGGATCACCTCTGATTCTCCTGTAACTTATGGGGAATAAACCCGTAAGGTTTATTCTTCAACTCTATCACCCATTTCGTTGTTCGTCTCTGCACCCGGTTCAAGAGATTTATGTCTCTTTTAAGGAGAGTGGGTGCAACGACGTGGTGAACATCAAGGTGTGCGTGCGTATGTCTTAAACAACGTTAGGAATAATTGTGAAGTGATAGCACCAAGTTGTCTTCGCATAAATTAAAGAGTCGCTTTTGTCTTGGCTGAGTCCCCTATATAGTTAGGGCTTGTGTGGAGGCTTTCTGTGGTTATTAAACCGAGATCGCGCTCTGAGGAGACATTACGGAGCGGACTTCCATTAAGGGTATAAATCGTTTGCGTCATGTGGGGGAGAATGTACATGACGTGACATTTCGGCTGGTTTAGTTTGAAACCGTTTTTCACTGCCCATTCCTCAATGGATGTAAGATACTTTTGGAGCTCGGTCAGATCCTCTTCGCTTCTAATGGACCTCCAGATCCTTGAGTCGTCCGCGTACATCAATGCCGAGGAGCTAACTGTGTCTAACAGGTCACTAGTAAATATAAGGAAAGGAAGTGGACCTAAGATGGTCCCCTGTCAAACTCCCGATGCTGAGACTCGCAAATTCGCGAGCACTCTATTTATCCTGGTACGAAACTTTCTACTCTCAAGGTAGTTTATGAGCCAAGATAGGAGTGGGTTAATGAAGCTCATTTACGGAACGCTCGCTATTAGGCGTGCATGGGCTACTGTATCGAAAGCTTTTGTTAAGTCGAGAAATATTACGTGCACCGGTATTTTTCGGTCCAAGCAGGATGTCCAACTGTCTCATGCTATGAGAAGCTTGGATGCTCATGACCTGCCTTTCGGAAACTCGTGTTGAGCTTCATGAAGTATTTTGTTCTTATGCATATACCCCCTCATCTGTTCGTTCACCAACCCTTCCATTACCTTTGATAATACTGGTAGTTATGAGACTGGTCTTCAACAGGCTGAGTCTTTCCTATCTCCTCCTTTGAAGATTGGAGAGAGAGTAGCTTGTTTCCATTTAGCTGGGAGTTGGTGTGACTCAGTAAATGCCTGAACAGGTCTTATGCCGGTGAACAGAGGGCGAATATTGTCAAAACCTGGTGACTTTCCTGGGCGTGAGGATTTTGGTTTCTTTAGTACTAAGTCAGGATTAATATAGATATTCCCTAAGCTGTCAGCTGGCACTGCGTTCGCGTAGTACTCTGAACATGTGGATGCCTGGTTTAACTGATCGGGGAAGTTTGTGTTGAAGATCTCAGCCATCTCTAGGTTGGTGAGGTCTTCCCCATTCTGGATGTCTCTTACAGTTTGCAAGTGGTTGTCTTTTGTAAGCCTCAGTCATTCCTGAGGCCATAGGGCATGTAGAAAGGTTTCTGTCATACGCGTGTAATTTGTTCTAGTATAGCGAAGATAGGACACGTCATCGTCCTGTGTGGGTGTTTCGTTGATGACCATGTTAAATAAGACTGTACCAATGGTCGCTACTTCCTATTGGTGTATGGACGTGAACATCCTCGACCAACAACTGATCATTTGTTAACAAACAAGCCAGGTTTGAGGATTTTTCCCTCCTTAGTCCATCTAGTGGCACTGCATACATTCTCAGTAAGCCCAGAGCTTCTAATGGCTGCTCTAAGTCGTCTTTGGAACCAACCAGTGGGAGTTGAAATCTCCAGCTAAGAAAGAGTATTTGATCAAACCTAAGGAGTGGCAGTTGTAGTATTGCCCCAGTAAGTTTATCTTTCTGGGCCTTAGTACCTGAGGGAGGATGACAAATCCCTCCAATCAGGTATTTCGTGCCATTTGTGTGGAAACAACACCAACACGATTCTGTCACCTCAGTTAGTTGGATGTCGTATAGCCGCCCGGCTTCTAAATGGCTGTTTATATATACAGCCACTCCGCCTCCTGTTTGGTGTACCGTATCGCTTCTGAAGAGTGTCATGCCTTTCAAGCTCACTTCATCGTCTGCAATGTCGGGGGATAGCTATGTTTCAGTTAGGATTATAATCTTCGGATCCATCGGAGAGTACATATTTCTAACTTCTAACAGCTAAACCCGTTAGTCCTCTTACGTCGCTATAGAGGCACTTGGTGGTTTGTCTCGTCAACTGGTGAACCTCTGCAGCAAGAGCCGTTGTCGGATTTTCAAACAAGTTGTTCAAATCGAGTTGGCCAGTTAGTTCTGTGGGAACTGGGTTCTGCAGAGCTTTGCCTGTGCAGTGCGTTCAATCGACGAGGCTATTATCTTCGTACCTTGTGCCGTGGGTTGTTGATCGAGGTCAACTGTCATTATTGTGCACTTACTTTTGCCTCTCTGTTGTTGTCCCACAGATCTAGATCGGCTCTCGCTACAACTCATGCGACTAGATACATCGTTCTTCATGCAGAACCAAACCTGAAGCGCCCTAGTTAGGTCCCGACCGAAGCAGCTACCTTGACGTGGTGGCCGTGCTTGCCCATCGTGATGACCCAACCGAGCTATATTGGTTCTAACTTATGTTCCTGAAGGTTCTCCCATGCCAGGCAGGTCGATTGGAGAGCGATGAGACTAAAAGCAGTTACTCAAGGTCTGAGGGCGAAGTCGTACTGCTG